ACTCACACACTAACTTCACACCTTTATGTTTTTGACTAATCAACACAAACAACCAGCAGAAATGATGTTTACACTCCGTCTTTAGTGTCTTTAAGGAGGGGGGGGGCAGAGGTGAGGTGGTATCAGCGGAGCCACAGCGCTGTGTGTGTGTGTGTGGAGCTTCTGCTGTGCCATGCTTCCTAAAAGTACTGAAACAGAATGTGAATTCACAGTTTGGGAGAGGAACATTACGCCATCATGGAATCAGTACGAGTGTACAGAGACGTGATGACGGCTGAGCTTGGTTACGACACCTTTGTCTAAAAAGAGCTTCAGCTACTTCTTAGCTAGCTAGAATCCAAATCTTGTTGTGCTTTACAGGATGAGATATTTCTTCACATATTTGACCGAGAATATACTTAAAAATAGAACATTTTTAGCTCTTTTTTATCATGTTTTAGATGGTTAAAAATAACTTTCCTTCCCTCTAATGTGTTCTTTCTTGTTACATCTGTTTTGTAAATTGTGAGTCATGATGGACGTTAGGGCTGCACAATCTTTCGGGAGGAAAAATGACATTGCGATATAAAAAATACAGAAAATCAAATCAGATAAACTTGGCCTGCTTTTAATGTACATATTAGTCCTGCATGATGTTAGAAAAGGGTATGACGTGGGCTCACTTTGCTCAATATTTAAAGAAACAAAACGCGGTGCAGTCAATTAACAAATCTGCTGTTCTTCATGTTTTACACAACACTTGTTTTATCCATCCTGAAGTGAAAAACTTTTAATTGGTCCCTTAAATCTGAAGGTAGCTCAGAGTTATCTGGAGCTTCATCTGACTGAAGCTTTGCCGTCTAACCTCTGCCTCCATCAAACATGTTAAACGTGCACATACTGAGTGAGGAATGATTTATTCTATGAATATAGATGACTGAGAACCAACACAGACATGTGCATACATTGATTTGATCATATCCTGGGCGGGGGGGGGGGGGGGGGGCCTTCACTGGACCTTTCAGGGGTCCCAGACATTACAGCAAGCGGGCCTGGTGTTTATTGAAAAAGCTCGATCATTGCGATACATCGTGCAGCCCTGATGGACGTCACTTTCTTACTGGTGGCAAAACAAATCTACCTTCAGGGACGGATAAAGTAACCTGAGTTCTTTCTTTAATTCTCCTCCGTCTACTTTTTCCTCCAGGAACGAAATAATCGTCTGAGAAAGAGTCGCGACCTGAGTGCCAGCCACACTGACCTGGCGCATTGAAGGTTTTTTTTTTTCCTGACCCTGACGGATGGAGGATCGACCTCCTGTCCACAAACTTCAGACTCTTCTCACTGTAACCTTCTGTGTGTGAAATCTGTTTTTTTTTTACCCCCACATTATACTCAAACACCACGGCCTCACTGTACAGGTATCGTTGCACTTTTTGAAAGTTTGCGCTCTGCGAGGGGGAAGTCTTGATGTTTATTTGAATGTTTACATATCGAGGAAGAAGAAGAAGAATATATGAACATATTACCTGCTGTAGGTTTCTGAACTGAGCGTGTAAATCTTTGTTTTCTTGTATATCTATGTGCTTGTACTGTCCGTAAGAACGCCCACTTAAATCAGTCCTTTTGAATATTTATGTTCTGATGTTGAATGAAGGCAAACGCAGAGACGACTTTTAGTTTGACAAACGTTTCTGATGCAGAAGAAGAACATTCACTTGTTGAATTGTAGAGCTTAAAACTTAAAGCTTCAACAATAGAATTGACAGTAGGAAACCTCCCTAATTGGGCCCCTTCTGACAGCTCTCACTCTCTGTGATATTCCTGTGAGAATCAGAGTTGGTCAATAAATGTCCCTGAATGAAAATGAAGAGTAATGATCCGTCCGGGAGTGAAAAAAGAAAGAGGAAGAGCGTCAGGACACTGGCAGACATGATGGTAGTTGGAGGGGCCCCTAATAAATTTTTGCCCAGGGGCCCCCAACAGACTCTAGAATCGCCACTGCTCGCTAAGTCGTGAGTTTTTTCAGTGAATCCTGAAAATTAAGATTTCATAAATTGGACACATTTGTTTTGCAAGAAAAAATTAGAATACAATTGAAATGAAACAACGCTAAGAACCAAAGCTTTGAGCAAAATGTGACGCGTGTTTCAACCTCATATTCTGCTTTAACCTTTGAAGGTAAAAACGTTGGAAACCTGCAGAGAGAAGCTGCATCTCAAACACTTTGTAAGACTTGTTTTCCTGAAATGTTCCGTCCTGTGCTGGTTGAAGATTGATGTTTACATTTTGCGTTTTTTTTTTTTTGTAAATGATGTTTTATTTGTTTCTGCGCTGCTCTCTTTATATCTCTCTGTAAAAAAAAAAAAAAAAACTCGACTTTAGCAGCGCTGTCCTAGTGAATAACGAGGTTGATGAAAAATGCGACAGAACAGAATCGTTTATTCTGCACATGAAGGCCGAGCGGCGAGCGGCACACTCAGGTTTGATGCTTTTAGTTTCACACACTGACGGTAACTATTGAGGCGGCTGAGATTGAAAAGGCGCCGCACAGAGACGAGGTCGGCCCGAACCTGTGACTCCTTTGTGTAAAATAAAAATCAAAGTCCAGAGAAGTTTGTTGATTTATTAAACAAAAAAGAGAAAAAATATTCTGAACAAAAAGTCCAAACGATGAAGATAAAAGATGACAAAAACGATGACCATGACGGTCAGCAGAAAACATGCAAACCCTCTCCCCCTCTTTGTCTAACCTCCCGCCCCACATCGGAACAAGACTCCAATATTGATCCTAGTTTGAGCACGTTTCTGCTCGTGGAGCTTATTAGAAACATGCAGAGGCTTTTTAGGTCGGGTACAATCACTTCTATCTGAACCACTTCTCTTGCCCGCTTCCATCGCTGCAACACCTGTTGACCTGATAACTGCTCTCATATCTGGCAAACCGAGGGGTGTCCAAAACGGCTGTGTGGGGGCGTGTCTTAAAACCGCCTACCTTCTCTGGTCCAAACAAATCCAGATCATTCAGGAGCAGAATCTAAAGTTAGAAGGAGGACATACTGGCTGCTGCATTGTTGTCAGAGAAGCCAGCACTTCAACATAGCATGTTTCCTTAATGTCTGATCAGAGAGTAAGATCATTTCATTCAGTAAATATCTTACAGATTTGGTACCTTGAGTTCAACAAAACTTTTGAGCTTTATCTTGAGCTGTAATGCGACTTAAAAGAGTCTTCAGGGACTCTAGAAAACATCCTCATTCTAACTTTATCTGAACATGTTTGTGTCTGAATTCTGACCCAAGAATTTGGTTTGGAAGATGAAGTAGTCATCGGCATACAGACGCAGTCATGAGGGATCTAACGTCACGTTTAACTTTATTCAGATTATCGGGCTGATTTCACGACTGATGCATTTACTGCATGACTTCATCGACATCTGAATCAAAACAGAGAGTGAGTGAGTCTGTGTGTCATCTCCCTGTTAACCAAACAAATATGGCGCCCTGATGTTCAAAATATGAACGCTGAACTTGAAGTTTCCGTCTGTGCCTGCAATAATTTACGAAAAGTTTTGAGATTTAAAAAATGTAACATGTTTCTTATTTTGTCGTTACACTTTTTGTTGAGTTTGTTGTGTCGACTGTTGATCAGTCGGCTCGTCCACCCGCTTTATGCTTTTGAAGAATACACCTTTTTGTTTTTCTTTCACTGTCAGAGGCTCCACAAAGTACAGAGGCACATAACTTAACAATGTCTGATGGTGGAGATGAACTGGGCCACATTTTGAGCAACACTGGACAAACAGCATCTACAGCAACATGTGGACGTAAAGATTGTCAAAAAACTATGTTGCTCGATGTCAGATCAACGTTGCTCAAAGTGTCGCCTGCCTTCTGATGCTGATTATCACCGGAAGTAAACCTAAAATCTCTCCTTAGAATCACATTCTCGTCATTTTCAGGAGTATTTTTATATAATTTTTATGATGACATGAATGTAAACTTAAAGGCTGATGGAAGTTCTGACAACTTAGAAAAGTTTGAGTTGGATTCTTGTTTGTTTCTCGTTAAAGCAGGGGAAGTAAACGTGTCACAGTCCGTCCTTTTGTTGCCGTTATTGTTTCTACCTTTTAAGTTAAGGACGTGTTGATGAAGCGTATTTTCCAAGAAATTGCTAGCTACTATTTTTTCCATGACAGCGTGTGGCAATAATAAGATACGAAACCTATTGGTGAAAATGTGGAGGGATTTCCTTGTGATTGTTTTTCTCAGATAACATTTTTAATTAAAAAAATCTGAAGGACCTGTAATTTAATAGGCCTGGTTACCATGGCAACAAATTGATTGCTGCTCCACAACATATGCAGTCTCCTAAATCTTTTTTTTTAACAGGCAAATGGGTTTAAGATTAAGATTGAATGTCAAGTGTTTGTTTGTTTGTTTCTGTTATTATTTTTGTTTGTGTCTTTAGGACTTGATGCTTCCTACAAGGCGGCGTTGTAGCTCAACATTAAAGATGAAACAAAAGCTTCTCTTGTGCGTCAGTAGAGATAGAAAATGATCCTGGATGAGACTGGCATGGTTGTGATAGGCCTACTACTATTACTCTGTAACTGCTGCTCTCTCTCTCTCTCTCTCTCTCTCTCTCTCTCCCTCTCTCTCTCTCTCTCTCTCTCTCTCTCTCTCTCCCTCTCTCCCTCTCGTGGCTTTGTTCAACTACACGTCCACTTTTATACCCAAGCGACCGAGTCAAGTTTGTCCTACAACTTATTGTACATTTGAACTGTATTTGAATAAAATGCTCAAATTCATGATTTTTGCTGTTATTATTTTTTTACATGATCTGTAAAAATTAAAAAATAATAATCTTTCATTTTTATTTGTTTTATTGGCGGAAATGGGCTTCCGTAGTTTTCTCCCTCCTTCGCCAGTGTGTAGAAAATCAAAACAACGCATACGTCATATCAACTCTACGATCTGATTCGTCAAGCGCCCTGTCAATCACTTAAGGAGGGCGTGTCCACTGTTCAGACAGGAGTTTGTGGCGGAGAGGGAGGGAGACTGTTCTGTACGGAGAGCAGAAACAGCTGCTAAAGAAAAATGTCTTCAGTGCCTGACGGGAAGAAACTCGTCCGGAGCCCGAGCGGCCTTCGCATGGTGCCGGAAAACGGCGCCTTCAACAGCCCGTTCTCCCTGGACGAGCCGCAGTGGGTCCCGGATAAAGAGGTGAGGCGAGGCGGGGGGAGGATTTGTTTGACAGCGAGAAGCCATAAGAGCGTTAGAGCCGCAAGCTGGAGAGGACCGTAAACGTAGCAGTTCCGGTGGAGCTCTTCAAAATAAGAGACACTGGTCGCGAATTCAGATTCATATGAGATGAGATGAGATTCAACTTTATTGTCATTGTCATATTGGCTATGTACAAGTAATTACAGAATTTACAGGTGTAGACAAAAAAAAGTGAATTTGTGTGTATATATGGATGGGTTAATGGGATGCTATAAATATAAATAAATGCTATAAATATAAGTATATTTTTAGGATTATAATATACAGATTAAGGTGCAGTGAGCATGCTATACTAGATTACAGATAATATACAGAATATGGACATATTGTACAGGTCGATAACTTATTGAGGTGATATGAACATACTATAATACATGTTGTAATAAAATTAATTTAAAAATTAATTAAATAAATAATTAAGAAATTAAATAAATTGTAATTTTGGTTTTCAGGGCCCAAAGTTTCTAATTTTTTTATTAACCTATATTATAAACCTTCTATTACCAAGTCTTTTAATCTTCAGTTGTATTATTTATTACACTAATAAATACATAAGAGTAAGACTTTTATACAGCATTCTGTATATTTAGACGTGAATTATTTAAATTATTAAAAATACATGTGTTGAAATTAAATTTATGAATCATAATTTATTTTATTTTTATGCATTTATCACAATAATCTCCATACTAACTTATAACTAAAACTTTTCAGTCTATGTATTTATTTATTTATTATTTTATTTTGAACGATTAAAAATAGATGATAATGAATAAACAAATAGAAAAATAAAATCTGTATAAAATAAAAAAAACAATTTCAATATAATACACATTTGACTCGTTCGAAAGGGGATAGGAAGAAGCCTAGGCTTGTCAAGTCCTACCTTCATTCTTCACCATTAACAAATGCAAAATCCAATAAAATAAAATAAACAGACAATACAAAAAAAAATATTCCAATTGAGCGATTAAGGAAAACAGAACAAAACAAAAAGAAGAGTAGAGCATGTTATATTCGCTTCTGGTCTTTTTTATTAATACCAATTTAATTATGTTACATTAAATTTAGAGTGTGATTAAAAGGAAAAACACAAGTGCCTTAGAAAATATACGTGGCTCTGCTTTTATTTTGGAGGAAAAGTCTACTGACTTCCGCTAGCCTTCGTGCTAACTGGCGCTAGCTTTACTTTGTTCTGGACATGGCAGTCGGCCACTGGACTGGGCGTAGCAGGCGCGCACGGTCAGCCTGGCTTTTAACGGAGGATGTAAAATTGGAGAAAACAACAAGCTGGTTAACTCCTCAAACCAGCTGTGTGTGTGTGTGTGTGTGTGTGTGTGTGTGTGTGTGTGTGTGTGTGTGTGTGTGTGTGTGTGTGTGTGTGTGTGTGTGTGTGTGTGTGTGTGTGTGTGTGTGTGTGTGTGTGTGTGAACAGAAGCACTTTGTCCTCCTGACAGTAAAGTTAAAGTTAATCATTCCCTCTCTGCTTGTGTTGGATTAATCTGTATTTTATAAACATGGACGATCAGTGGACACTTTCATTTAACCAGGAAAACTAAAAATCTAATTTTCGTTTAGTGTCCCGGACAAGACGAGCCGCAGAACGTTTAACAAGTTCCAGACATGAAGCTCAGATCAACATAACCCGAGTCAGAAAGGTCAAAAGTCAAATCATCTACGACCAGATGCGTCTTCCTCCGATGCCTTCAATCTACTTTTAAAATCATTTAAAGCTGGGGTGTCCAAATGCGGCCCGAGGGCCATTTGCGGCCCTTGAGGGGAATTTTTGCGGTCCGTGACTTCAAATGAAGAATCAGAAGATTTTGGGGCTGATTGGCACATTATCTTATTTTTCTTTTTCATGTTAACAAGGGCTGAACAATATTCCTAAAATAGAAAATGTTCAGTAACATGTATGTTGTTGTTGTTGTTTTTAAATCTACAGCTTTTACTATTTTCCACATTTTTTTGTAAACTATGAAAACAAACTCATGCAAAGTTTTTGCAAACAAGCGGACTGTTGTTTAACCATTTAATGACCTGAGCTACATGAACCACGTTACAGGTTTGATTCTGAGAAAAAAACAAATAAAGTAGAACGAAGAAATCAAAATATTGAGTTTCCTTTTATTAAAGGGTTTCTTTAGCGAGCCTTTTGATTCTGACCTACAAAGCCTTCCTATTTTTAAAACTATATTTTAAAAAACAAAAGCTGTGGCCTGTGAGCGATTCTAACACGACAATTTTGGCCCGCAAGAAAAAAGTTTGGACACCAGTGATTTAAAGAGACCAGCTTCCCCCAGACACAAATCCTCCTGCAGCAGATTCCAGGCTGCAGGAGCAGCATTCCTGAAACTCCTTTGATGGTCAAATAGCAAGAATGCATTTTGTGACAAGGCCGCAGACATGAGTACAATTACACAACTATGATGGAAGCAGATTAAGTGTAGCCTTATTTAAATGACATGACAATGATTTTGTCTATGAGTAGACGATGCAGGCCAACATACTCGATCATAAATTCAATGATGAGTGAGAGCCTTGAGATTTGTTATGAACGTCAATGCTCCAATGTAAACGGCATCCAAAGACTTAAGGCAGTGAGAGAAGTTGCATGCACATTAAAGACAAGTGTTAAAGGGTAAGGTCACATATGATGCAAAATCCACTTCACCATGTTTCTCTAACTCTAACATGTGTCTCTAGTCTACAAACCCCCCAATGATGAGAAAAGTCCATCCTCTCCGTCTTTTACCTGCTCCACTTTTCAGAAAATGTGTGCTCAAACAGGCTGTTTGGAGATTTCCCCTTCATGACATCACAAAGGGCAGTAGCCCCTCCCCCAGGTGGGTGACACTCCCACAGCTAGGTGTTTGTTCTGCCCTCTGAGTCGGCCTTCTCATCGTAAACAATAGGACATGGAGCGAGAAAGCACCGAGTACACCTCAAGCCCTTCCAGAGAGGGGGCGTGGTCAGACACAGCTCATTTACATATTTAAAGGTACAGACACAGAAACAGCCTGTTCTGAGCAGGGCTGAAATAGAGGGGTTTATAGACATGATCAAATACAGGATCAGAGTGGATTTAGAAACTTGTTTTGGGGATCTTCGAGACTTATTTAAAGTTGTTGAAAAGGAGGATAATATGTGACCTTTATATTATTATTGGCGCATTGAAGGTTTTTTTTTATGTTTTCTTCATTATTATTAATGAAGTGCTTACACAGAAAACAAGTCAGGAAACTCAGTAGGCCAGAAAAAACCTCAAACAGCAGAGTCAGAAACATCATGGACAACACTAAGGAACATTCAATGAATTATGTATGAAGTTTCCTAGAAATTAAAACTACCAGTGTTAACCCTAAGTACTCGTATCTGAATGTAGAAACTTATCTGCAGCTGTTATAAAATCTATTAATCATCAAATCCTTTTGAAAGACAGAAATGAGCTCGGTTTGACTTCATAATGTGAAGATTTGTTGTTTTTCCTCTCACCTGTGATACCAACACAAACATCTTTAGGTTAGGTCTGTTGGTCAGGAAAGGGTTTGAAGATTCATAGTTTCTAAAACAACACACGCTTCCTGTATAGGGATAGGGAGTCGGGACCGAGTTCAAATCTGAAAGGTCAGCGCCCTCTGCTCCATATTTGTCTGTTGAACCTGAATCCGCCTAGCTCAGCATGTTGTGTAACATCCTGTTTTTTCTTTTTCTCTTCCTCTCTTGTCCTTCAGTGCCCGAGATGTATGCAGTGTGACACCAAGTTCGACTTCATCAGAAGAAAGGTTTGTTTTGTTCTGCAACACAAATCACAGCGTTATCTCAGGTTTGGAAAAAAAAACAAAAAAACAAGAGAGAGAGACGAAGAAAAGTGAAGAGTCTCTTTACTCCGCCTGTGTTGTGAAACCTCGATGACTATTTCTTCTCCTCTTGGCTTCTGTTCATTTATTTTGGCCAAGAGACGCACTGAGGACTCTGTGGAGGCATTTGTTTCCAGTGATGACTGAACACACAACACTGCAGCTCTGTGTCCCAGTTTTTTTGCACAGTGTAGTAAAACCTTTTCTCAGCCGTCATCATCATCGCTGCATTCTCCAGTTGTTTGTTTTTTATTGATCAGAAATTAGAAACCTCCAGAGCTTTTATTTGGTATTCCTTTTTACTCTCTGCTAGCTATTTGGGATTATTAGGGCGTTGGGTTTTCATGAGAACAGATACGACTGAAGTAAAAAGATATTGATGACTGTTTCAATACCACAGAAACACATGATTCTCTAAATAAAATGTTGTTGAACAGTTTTTGTTTTAATGCGAAACCTTTGACGATTGATTCTCGTTGTCCCCGCAGCATCACTGTCGGCGGTGCGGGCGGTGTTTCTGTGATAAATGCTGCAGTAAGAAGGTGGTGCTGCCGCGGATGTGCTTTGTGGATCCGGTGCGTCAGTGTGCAGAGTGCAGCCTGGTCTCCCAGAAAGAGATGGAGTTCTACGAAAAACAGCTCAAAGTGCTTTTGGCAGGTGAGAAGTCCGGCCTCGATTCATGATCATGAAGTAGCAAAAGAGTTTGTTTTTTTAGGATTGATTTTCTACTTCTGCTCCAAAATTCCTTTTTCTGTTAAAACCTGTATGAAGTCAATTTTGGGATCAAACATACAACGCTTCGGGGCGAGAGTACTTCACATTCACAACATTTAATGCAGGCGACACACTACAAAGTAATCAGGCCGATTTTGGGCCCGGTTCCCCCTCTTCCAGCAATTTAAAGTGAAGTCCAGATTTTTATGTTTCTGAAGTTTATCTCACCAGATGTTCCTGTGGTTTGAGGTCGGGCTGCTCGATTATGACAATAATGGAAAAAGTTTGGGAACTGCTGCTCTACATCTCACATCTGTGCTGAAAAACAAGTCCAGGGTTACTTCAGTTTTCATATGTGTTTTTTTTTTTTTAAACCTTTTATTTAAAGGATTTTGTTAAAAAAAATGAGCTTCTTCATTTATCAATTCATCCAGTCATTTAGTTCAGCTTCTGCTTTTTGTCATTTTGTAACTTAGTCTTCATCCTAAACGTGTTTGTCATCTTACTTTGTGGCTTCATGACGCTGTTCCCCGCCACTGTACAGGAAGCAGAAATACTGTAACAATCATCAGAGATATAATCCAGCACTGCCCCCCTATACTCCTCCTCCATGCCCTGATAATCTGTGTGTTGTTGTAGAGTGTCGAGGTCAGTGTGAAGCTATAAATAAGCAGCAGCAGCCGGGCCGCCTCTCAATGAAAAATCCATCAGCAGCTCGGAGCTTCTGAATGGAGAGCCCGCAGCATGTTGGGGCCTCAACAGTTAACAAAGAGACGAAACACACAGAGCAGTCACTGAATCTCTCTCTGTGACATTTAAAGCCAAAATCAAAATCATCCTTACTTTGGGGATTAAATCAAGCTCATACTTCTATTTGCTTTGTTACTGATGTTTACAGAGTTTAATGTTCCTCCTTTTTGTCTTTTATCACATTCAATGTTTCCAGGCGGTTCCTTCGTGGTCACTTTGGGAACGTCGGAGAAGTCTGACACCATGATGTGTCGTCTTTCCAACAACCACAGGTGAACTTTTCTTAATTCAGTATTTGTTTAGTTTCATAGCCTGATTGACATAATAAGTTAAAACATCTCATTTGCACCATCCGCTTGGAATTTGTTGCTGGAGTCGTTAATGGAGCAGTATGTAACTCTGACACCTAGTGTTTAAAACAGGTACTGCAGTCCAAATTCAAAACATTGTAGAGAGCTGTTCCCCCCCCCTCCTCTCTAGAGTGGATGCTCACTCAGGTCACCATGTGGTGGACTCTGAAGCTTCAGTGTTTATCCAGCTCTGCATGGGTCTGTAAACCTTTCTGTGTTCTAACCTCTCTCCATTTTTCAAAAGCATCTCCAATATTGATCCTAGTTTGAGCACGTTTCTGCTCGTGGAGCTTATTAGAAACATGCAGAGGCTTTTTAGGTCGGGTACAATCACTTCTATCTGAACCACTTCTCTTGACCGCTTCCATCGCTGCAACACCTGTTGACCTGATAACTGCTCTCATATCTGACAAACCGAGGGGCGTCCAAAACGGCCGTGTGGGGGGGTGTCATAAAAGCGCCTACCTTCTCTGGTCCAAACAAATCCAGAGCATTCAGGAGCAGAATCTAAAGTTAGAAGGAGGACATACTGGCTGCTGCATTGTTGTCAGAGAAGCCAGCACTTCAACATAGCATGTTTCCTTAATGATCAGATAGTAAGATCACTTTTATCATTTCACTCACTACACATCTCACTAATTGCACATTTTTAAAAGTTTTTAAATCTGAAGTAAAAAACTTGGAAGAGGATCCTACAGGGTGTCGATGTTTTCAGCTTGTTTTTTTAACTCGTCGTTCTCTCTTCAAGTTAATTTGAGTGTTTGTGAATTGTACTTTGTCTCCCTTTGTGTCTCCGTCTGTAACTTGGTGTTTGCTGCTGACTGTCTTGGCCAGCTCTCCTTTGAAAAACAGGTTCTTAATGTCAATGGGACCAACCTAGTTACAATAAAGGTTAAATAAAAAACATTCTCAGTTGTGTTATAAGTTGAACTGTTGTTGTTGTTAATTTTCCTGTTTTTGATCTACTTCTTCTTGGTTGTGTTTCTCTCCAAACATCAGGTATCTGTTCCTGGATGGGGAGAGCCACTTTGAGGTGGAGTTCTCTCGAATCTCCAGCATGCAGATTCTGACGGACGGGTCGAGTCCAGGAGGTAATGTGACTACGATAACGAAGCAGATATTAAACATATTTCTTCTTTTCTGTCGTATTAAAAACGATCAAGATAACTGCGTCTACCTCGATGTAAAAATTCTCAGCCTGTCCTCTTTTTCATATCAAACACTAACGCACTGTTTCTCCTCTGCTGCTGCTTTGACTCTGGACTCTTCTTCTTCTTGTTTTTCTTCTTCTGGGCTCAGAGAACGACATTCACACTTACACCAGTCTGCTGGACAGTCCCTTTATCTCTGAAGGTTAGCTGTGGTTCACTGTGCTGCTGTTTCGTTCTTCATCATCGTCACTCCAACCTCCTCCATTTTCTCTCGACCTGATGTCTCTGTGTTTTATTGTGTTAGTGCATGAAGCGGCCTGAAAAGCATTGTTAGCTCCGGCTGCTAGGTCACGAGTTGCAAGTCAGGAGAGGAACATGTAGACCAATCACAGGGCTTGCGGTCTGAATCATGTCAACACGCTACAGCGCGGATGAATCCAGCTTGAAACCAAGAAGCATATCTGTTACAACATAAAACAGACAATTTCAAAATCTCTTTTTTTTTTCTACCGTTTGACTTCCTGTTTATTATCACAGTAATAATAGATATAAAGTAAAAAGGTAAAGAAGAGTGTCTTTGTGTCAGTCAGGTGTTCGTGTATGACATTTAATTATGTAACGTAAACTCATCAAAGTGAAGTAATGCGGCGCTCTGAGATTTTTGTTCACTTTGACTTTAAAGTTCAAACATTTCCTTTCATCCTCAGTTTTCTTTTTTTCTTGTCTTGTCTGTTTGTTGTGTATCTGTGACTTTCTCCCCCTGACATCTCTTTGTTGTCTCATCTGTGTATCTCCTGCATGCAGTGATCACTTCTGAATGACTTGACTCATGTTTTTGAGGCTGTACTTTTCAGAGGCATAAGCAGGAACTTTATCCCAGAAGTTTCACATAGAAAAAAAACCAAACTCAAATATCTTGTCAAATGAATCAAATACACCGTTGTATAAAACGCCATGTAGGTGTAGCACATTCTTATTCCCCTCCTCCGTTATCCCATTAAATTAACGAGGAAGTGAATATTACTGCTCGATAATAACCTTGTTTTGCTCGCCGCTTTTTACACGTTTCATAAAGTGTTAAACCGCTTTGAGAAAAGCATCAGTGTGGATGTGTGTAGTGGAGAAATTGGAAATGTTGAGGCAACTTTTTCTGACAATGTCGTCAAATCTGAGCCGACGATTGGGCACAAGTAGAACAATAGAGTATAGTAACACATTGTGTGTGTGTGTGTGTGTGTGTGTGTGTGTGTGTGTGTGTGTGTGTGTGTGTGTGTGTGTGTGTGTGTGTGTGTGTGTGTGTGTTGTGTGTGTGTGTGTGTGTGTGTGTGTGTGTGTGTGTGTGTGTGTGTGTGTGTGTGTGTGTGTGTGTGTGTGTGTGTGTGTGTGTGTGTGTGTGTGTGTGTGTGTGTGTGTGTGTGTGTGTGTGTGTGTGTGTTGCAGGAAGCTCGTCGCGGGCCAGCGGCATGCTGCTTCACTACAAACCGATGGGCTCCCAGGATGCTGAGCAGCTCCGCATGGAGGCAGCAGACGACAAGAAGGTGGCCTCGTTATGGTTAGCTGCGATGCACAAGGTACGACGTGTCGCACGACTTGACCTTGTAGAGCTCAAGTCGTGCAGAGGGAGCAATTCGGGGTTAAGTGTCTTGCCGACGGACACATCGGGCATGTGGCTGCAGGATCGAACCCTCAACCTTTCAGTTGACAGACGACCGACTGACACAGCCGCCCCTTGTGTGTGTTTTTAGGATAACAGTCCTGATAGTACCAAACATGTGGCTGACTGTTTATTTGATCTATTCTTCATGTTTGTGTTTTTCCCCGCAGGCGGCCAAACTCCTGTATGAAGCTCGTGACCTGTGACCTGCAGACGGCCTTCTGAACTGACCCTCCAGGCAGCACACACCCAAGTGTTCGTACCCCCGTCTCTCCGGGGGGGTTTTCGGTAGAGTTTTGCTTTTATTAACGCCAGCTCTGATTCTGCGTTTTCCGTCTGATCTTTCGGCCTCTCGATGACATTTTTTTATTACGGTAATCTCAGCAAGAAACGTTTATACAAATGAGAAACACTTTATTACCTCTTTAACCAGTACTTTGTACCTGTTTACTACAATGATGCTGAAGATCTCATTTTACATTTTGTCAAAGTTTGTCTCTGATTGAATCAGGGCGTTTAATGTTCCTGACAGCTGAGCAGCAGAAGACGCTTCACAACACCAGCAAGTATCTGATGCTTTTGCGACGCTTCTTCCTTTAAATGTATTTTGCTTTCACTCTAAATGTGACATTTTACCTTCCACATAACATTTTTTTTATAACTTCAGAGATGCCTTCAGATATAGAGGCTCGGTCGATGACTTTAAATGCTGCAGTTAGACGACGGTTTTATTCACCAGATGTGACACTTTATGGATCCCTTTTTTTTTTTTTTAAATCTTTCACTTCGCTGACTCTCCTTCCAGAGTGTTTTCACTTAACGGTTAAACCAGTTTGAACACAGATCTTCCAGATTAAACATCATCTTATGCAGAGTAACGGACAGATCCACCTTTAACCCTTTAAAGCAGAAAGAAAAGCAGCTGTAGGTCATGTTCTTTGCATTTCAGGGCCCATTTTGTTATCAATCTCAGAGAGAAGGTAAGAAACTTCACCGGATCTGTCTGTGTCACGTTCCAAGTGATTGGCTTTCAATTTTGACACATTTTAATGGTTTTTCTGGTGTTTTTATTATTCTTTACAGTCACATCAAAAAGCTGTTTGCTTCGATGTGTTAAAAGGAAGAATGTGCGACTGTTTGAATCCACTAGATGTCGCCCTTGAGCTACAGTATGAAACCAAAACAATCAGCTGTTTGGTGACACCTCCTCCAGACTGAACATATATTTTAAAACCAACGACCAATAAATACAATTTAAAAACTCCCACGAGTTAATTTCACATGTTAGATAAGCTAATGAAACCTCACCTAACCAGGTACAATCAGTTTTTTAAATAATACCAGAGTGTGAGGAGTTCAAGTCAAGTGCTTAAAATCAAAGTGAGGACTTCTTTTTCTACATTTGTTTAAACTTTCAACAAACATAAATCATTAAAATCAACAGAAAAGAGCCACACAGAAAGCCCTTTATTCCCTCGCTGGAGCAGCAGGTGGCAGTGTTAAGGAGTGAAAGGCATCCTGGGAAATGTAGGATGCCCTAAGTGAAGCCGAGGCAGATTGAGGGAATATTCCTGAAATGCAAAGAACATCAGATTTATCAACAATTTGTAAACAAAATGTTTGTTGCTTTAAAGTAAATGAGTTAATAACATGTTAGGTGACGTGTTTTGTTGATTTTAAAACGTGTTAAAATCTCTGCTTTAGTCTTTACAGATGCTACCTTTAGGACTCGATGTCTAAGGAAACAAACTATTCACTGATTCTAGTGAAGCACACACACACACACACACACACACACACACACAAATGCTTTAAATGTACGTTCATGTATCCAAGTTTTTGTATAAGCTATTTTGTTAACTATTCCTACTTTAACACAAGGCGTGTACGTACTCACATATGATAGTTTTTGTAATATTTGTAAACGGTAATTCCTCTAGTCCTTTCTCAAAGACCTGAACTGTCTCTTTTTCTTTTTTTTAATTATTATTTTCATAATACTTATTAAGACAGGATGTGACCCATCTTCCATCTCCCAGAGGTTTTGAGTTTGATGATTCAGCAGGTTATTAGTTGCACTTCCAAGGACCTATCACTAACAAAGACTTAGTTCTGGCTGAGTCGGTGAAAGTGTTGTTTAAAAAATGTGACATAATCGCTCTGATCAGCATTTTTATTCTGTCAAAAAGTGTTTTTTAAAAAGTTAGCCCCAGTATTTTGCCTCTTGTGAAATATCTTTACAAGACTGTTGAAACACTTACAACTCCTGTGAGGAACTTTAAGTTAGGGTTGATTTCAGCGCCCCCCTGTGGGGAGGCGGTACCTCTAATCTCATTGCTGATTTTGTCCTGTACGTGTCGTACCTTTTGGTCTGACCCTGCGGCAGTAGTTTCAGGCATTAAAGGTCTCCTCCTCTTCAACCAGTTTAAATAAGTCTCAGATCTCCTCAAAACATGTGTGTCAAGTTTCTTGTTCTAAATCCACTCTGATCCTGTATTTGATCATGTCTATAAACCCCTCTATTTCAGCCCTGCTCAGAACAGGCTGTTTCTGTGTCTGTACCTTTAAATATGTAAATGAGCTGTGTCTGACCACACCCCCTCTCTGGAAGGACTTGGGGTGTACTCGGGCTTTCTCGCTCCATGTCCTATTGTTTACGGTGAGAAGGCAGACTCAGAGGACAGAACAAACACCTAGCTGTGGGAGTGTCACCCACCTGGGGGAGGGGTTACTGCCCTTTGTGATGTCATGAAGGGAAAATCTCCAAACAGCCTGTTTGAGCACACATTTTCTGAAAAGTGGAGCAGGCGAAAGACGGAGAGGATGGACTTTTCTCATCATTGGGGGGTTTGTAGACGGACTAGTGACACATGTTAGTGTTAGAAAAACATGGTGAAGTGGATTTTAGGAAATATGTGACCTTTTAAAAATGATTATATTGGTCTTGTTTGCTTTTCTAGTTCATACAGAGGCGTTGATATAAATTTCAGTCTGTTCTATAACAAACTAAAAACTCCTCACAGGAGCTTCAAATCTCAAGTCAAGTCAAATTATTAATGAATTTGTCGCTTATACAATATACACTATGTTCTTTATTTAGCTGTGATAACCAAGTATAAAAGGCTTCTCAATTATTTGCGTTTTTAAACCTTTTTTTTGTTCGGTTACCTTGTTTTCTAAGCATAAAGCTGGAACTTTGAAGTGATTTAATGGAGCACAGACTAGGTCGACTTTCAGCCTTTTTACCTTCTTTGACCTTTATGTCGTATCCCATGAAAAACAACATTCACCGCCTCCATCCCTACGTCTGTGACGAAAGTTTATTTTTATATTCTCCTCACCCCTGAAGGAAAATCCCACAATGTGTCGTTAGGTTGTCGTTTTTCAGAGCCGAAAGAGAAGAAGAAGAGTTAGGGTTTAGTGTAACAGTGGTCGTTTTCAGTGTCGTGCACATTCACAAGGTCATCCACTCAAACTGTTTTAAACACCAACATCTCAGTTCTTCCATGTGTTTGGTTGTGTTGTAAGTTTGCACTTCCTGTGACACCACAAAGTCATGATTCAGCCAGTGTTTGAACCTGCACTTTATGTCCACCCAGATTCAGTCTTTTTCTTTTATTATTCCTCTGCTTCCTTTATTACGCTGAACGTGCTGTACTACATCCTTTTGTTGGAATATTCTGTTGAGAATAAAATCAAATGTTTATACATGTGTGGTGGTGTCTGTGTCTTGTAGAAAGCCTGTGCAGCAGTAACGGTGTAGAAACGTCACTCCCCCCTCCTATTGGCTCGAGCTGAATTCTCCAGAGAATATCCTGCTGCGTTCTCGCATCAGCCCACTCAGACTTGCTGTGGAAAAAAATACCAGGGGTCTGGCAGGAGAAACTCCGGGTGAAGTCCGAGCGAAAAATGTGGCTGTTTGCGTTCACACATATATAAAGCTCCTCCTGGAAATATCAGGAGTCTTTCAGGAGATTTCTGCAAGTTTGAAAGCTCTTTATGTCGACTTTTAACAGTCATGGACGTGATCTCAGTGACGTCATCCATTGGATTCAAAACGATGGCAATGGCCATATTGGAAATGCTGTCTAAGCTAACTTTTGGCCGGGGCTAACGGGCACCTTTACTCTCCTGACAAACGACCACAGCGTGCCAACCTGTAAGTCAACTTAGCCACACCCCTAATTTGAATAACTCTTATCCTTAATATATCCAAAGTAAATGCAAATCTCCCCCAGTGCTTAACATGACATGTTTATTTTCTGCTGTAAAAGGGGTGTTTTTACATGAGGGGGGTTTAATAATACTGTGAAAAATCATGGATGAAGCCTGGAGAAGCACCACACTTTGTTTCTGAACGGGTCTTTGGAATCTGATTGATGGCGGTCGCCACGCTGGAAATGCTGTCTCAACCTAACGACAGGCTAAGAGCTGAGGCGGGTTTTAAGCCTGCCGACGAACAGCTACAACGCCCCCCGTCTGTCAATCAGGTCAGCTACGCTCCTTATTATCAACAACTTGTTTATTTCATGACCACCTAAAAGAAGTTTTTACAGACAAAAATCTGTGATTTACAAACATGAGTTATTTTGTTATAATTATTTGTACTGAAACCCATGCTGACATTCAACATCTGAAATGTTGACAGATTCAGCATGAACATTAAAGGTATAGAGACCACCTCTCAGTAGTGTGAACAAACAGACAATCCTCTCCTATGAAAAAAAAGCAGGTGTCAGGCATGATGTTCAAAAACCAGCTACAACTTATTAAATTGTTTTTGGTTGTTTTTGGCCTTTTTAGTAGGTGTTGGAAATGTGAATGCATTGACAATGATCCATAGTTTAGGTATATCTACTTCAGAATTTTAATAGTAACCTGTAAAAAAACACAACTGAAATATTTTTGCAGGCTACTTCTATGAAGCACCAGCCTTCATTTCTCTGCTGGCTTGTGGTTTGTTTTTAATCTCTTGTAAAACAGGTTATTTGAGGTGTGGTTAACGTGTTCATGTTGTGTAATTTTTTCTTCACTGTGTTTCTGGGTTTACTCTGCGTCGCTGTTTTTCCGTCTGCAGGTAATGTAACTTAATGTTTTATGATAGAAACCTCATTGTGTCATTCGTTGTTCAAATAGAGACATTCAAACTTAAGATTGTGTCCGAGAATGGAAACGAACAGAGGAGAACATCCTGTTCTTAATTTTTTTTATTACCGCGTTATCTTCAACGTGCCACAGTTATGAGACCTAGGGGGGACAATGCTGCATTTTAAAAATAAGCTTAGAAAAGGATAAAAATGAATGTGAAAAAGATAGGTCGAATTGTCTCTCAGCCTTTAAGAGTTGATTAAACTGTGTTGACTTTGTCTTATCTTTCACTGAAGCTTGGCTCAAACGGGGAAATGGCCTGGCAGGCTGCCAGGTTGGGATGTTGACTTTATAATGTAGCCTGTCCTAACCTGTTTGAAGGACAGGTTGAGGTGTTGTTGCTTAAGTTTCTGCTTAAGTTGCTGCACATACCTGCATGTATGACACACCTGTTTTAACTTGTGCGGTTAGTAAATTTATCCAGAATTGAAACTGAAATACTCGAGACAACATGTAATGACAGGCCGAGTGTCACTCTGTACGTTTGTGTCAGAGACAAAAACTAAAGACATTTTCTCTATTTTTTTATTTTAGGTCTTTTTTTTTACACAATACTGTTTCTGTTATGTTTTTGGTAAAGTTGTTTTAAATTTTAGTTTCAGTGAATGAAAATGTTTTTTACACTTGAGTTTTTGTTATTTGTTTGATTTCGTTAACAATCCTAACCTTGGAATGAACACAGTCAACTTTTACTGGACTGATTCCTAATTTGTACTTTTCAGCATTTGTTGGGTCTGGATGTTTAACATTGCAATCTTCAAACTGTCTTACAGGTACATGTAGTCTTACACTGACCTGAACCACTGCATGATGTCAACTGTCAGGTCCTTCAAAGAAAAAAGATCATCTCTAAGGTAAGATTTAATCAACCTTTAAATGTCATTGCAATTATTACACACACACACACACACACACACACACACACACACACACACCCTGGTCCCCTGAGACATGTTTGGCGTCTCGTTATCATCTGACTGTAAAGACTTCATATCATAAATTAAAGGTTACATATTTAAAATACACTTTAACAAGTGTTTCTAACAGTAATATGTGTCGCTAGTCTGTCTCCAAACCCCTGTTGGGGTTGTATCAAGTCAACTTTGGTTATATTCTTTAATAATTATACTTAATTATTAATAATATAAATGAAATATCATTAAACTATGTTTAATCTCGTTTTGGGGCACCAACCTGTAATCAGGTAAATATAACCAAAATATCACTCAAATCAGTCTCAAATTAGTTATTTAATTACTAATATTATTAATAATGAATAACTATATTTAATAAATTGAAGGCATGAAATCCATACACAAAGCCTTCACACCCAGCTTATATCACAATGCAAATACAACCAGTAACCACAAACAACTGCTCTCTTAAATTATAACAGAATTTATTTCAACAAAGCAACATCAACCCAAAATCAATGAACTTAATTAAACAAATAACTATTATAAACTAATCTAAGCAACAAACATTATCAAGCAAAGGCTTGTGGATGAGGTGTAAATGTGTGTGTGTGCAGATGAGTGTGTATGTAGATGTGTGAGAGAGAGAGAGAGAGAGAGAGAGAGAGAGAGAGAACAAGATGGTGGAGAGAGACAATGCACCATGTGGCTTCGTCACATGGTGACAAAAATTGTGGACAACAAAGGAAGCCGTGTGGCTACTTTTTGAAATAGTTTGAGCTCTCTGAGCTGAGTTCAGTAACTGTTACTTAAACACCAGAAAGCCAGTGGCCAGACTTTGATTCAACAGCAGGTACACTGGTCTTTCTGATTGTGAAAGCCGTTGACTGAAGGTAAGCTAGCATAGCATTACATACATAGACGAACACAGCAGTTCATTACAATAAAACAAATGCAGCAGCTTACAACAAATAATATACAGAATGTGACGTCTCGTCAACAATGATGCATAATTATCAGTGGTTATAAAAGAAACATAACTATTTCTGAAACTATTTCTGCCCAGACCAAAGCTCTTATTTGGGGTAACTCCTGGTGATCATTGCAAAGTTGGTTAGATCGTCACTCTGTTGAATGTTAAATCAACAGATTCAGGCAGGATTCCTTAGTTGCAGATGTAGGAGGAGGGTAGCAGGATTCAGATCTTCGACCAGAGCGTTGCTCTATAGGGTCTTCTGGTTGCAGGAGCCGAGTTCTTTATGTGTCCTTGTGGATTCAGGGATCAGTGGGCTTCCTTCAGCGCTCCTGTCCAGTTGCGTTCAATGACGTCTTACGAAAAATCAAAGGAAAGAAACTCTTCTTTTTGCTCGAACCTGATAGCATCTGATTGCGCCTAAAACTCCTAAAAATATGCCATGGAAGTAGTCAGCTGAATCCTCTGATGCTTGAATTCAGCATGTGAAGAGCTACCTATACTGAGCAACCTCAGCTCTGGAGTTTAACCTATGTAAGCCAAGAGGAGGAAAGGGTTTGTCTCGAATGCTGGAGTCCATCATATGGAGAGGGTATCCTCTGGTGTCGGCAGACCACACTTGAAGAGAAGGAAGCAATGCCTGGCTATTGCTTTTAAAGACTGGAGCTGCCTGTGGGTTTACCTCAGGCCTCCTCCAATGAGGATAGAGAATTCAGACACCCCCCCCCACTTTTCACACCTATTCGTTGGTTTCTGTTGGGGGGTTGCTGGGCTAAGACCCCTTTGTTCAGTTCCCTCCAAAATACTCTAGTCAGGTTTGAGAACTGTGATACAGGCCTGAGTCCTTTGTCCCATGCACATGGCTGAGGCCCAACACCCCCCAATATACGGAATAAAGGGAGAAGTTCATCCTCTCCGTCTTTAGCTGCTCCACTTTTCAGAAAATGTGTTCTAACAGGCCGTTTGGAGATTTTCCCTTCATGACATCACAAAGGGCAGTAACCCCTCCCCCATGTGGGTAGGGGAATAGGATAAAGGTAGACCGATGTAAATAATTTTCTAATATCTAACGATCTAATCTCTCTCCCTCTCTCTTCCCAACAAACTTAGGCACAAGAGAAACCTTTCATCTGATCGATACATGGATTTCAGGTAAGATTTTCTCAACATTCAAATGTCTCTGGAATTAGTACACATTTTTGCATGCACATGCATACATTATCATGTTTAGGCACATCTATGTGCAAAAATTCAAAGTCCGCGGAAACGCAGCTTCTCCTACCTCCTCCTGTTAGCTGTAGTATTAGCTGCATGTAACACTCAGTTCTAGCCCCCCTCGAAAAAAAATTGTCAGTGTGACGTCTTGTCAGTGTGATGTCACTGATCTAAGCCCATTGGCTCGTTGTGGCAAGCCCTGCAGCTCATGTTGCACGCCCGTTAACTTCTGTAGCAACGCCCACGATATGCCGTAGCCTGCAGTAGCACAGTAGTGCTAACGTGCTAATGTTTTTGCAGAGCCGACAGGCCGACCAATCAGATCAGACTTGGCACACGTGGGGACTCTGAACGTGGGCGCTTCAGAGCCTTAGAGAGAGAGTCAGAAGCGAGCCAGTGCATGGAGCGGCAGAACATGAAAACAGACACTTTTTTATAACTTTAGATATTGTGAACATACTTTAGTAGATACATAGATTAAATATATGAACCACAAAAAGAACATAATATGACCTCTTTAAATATAAACTTCCTGGTTGATATTAAAACGGGAAATTTGCTGCTGGGAAATTGTTTTAGAGACGATATGTTGTTGTAGGGACTACTTGTTAAAAAACTTGACTGTCCATGCTGTCCTGTCTGGATCAGAAAACATTTTGTACCAACTTCAACTTCATGGGGAAATTTGCTTTGCAGCCAAGTAACTCAATAAAACATACAAAACTTAAAGACACAGACTCACTTACAAGAAACATTAAGATGTACAGATACAAGAAAACAGACAAACAGTATTAATAACACCTGTTGCTTTGTTCAACAACCTGTCATCATTTTCATGTGTATTTTCACTCTGATGAAGTTTAATCACACAGTGCTTGTTACTTGATGCAGGATGGAGAGGGAGGAGGAGGACAGCATCGGGGCAGATGATTGGACCCAGGCATCAAACAGAGGTAAGTTGAATCTGTGTCATTCAGATGTCTTTTATCCCTCATATATTCAGACGAAGCTGGCGTGCTCACTGTGTACCGGGTATTACTCGGTAGTGGGGACACATTGCAGGAAAAACGCCAACCACGGACCCTGCTGCAGCTTTTTGAACATGGTGCCCTGCTGTCTTTATTCCTGCTAATAAAAAGTATTGTTTTTCTAATAAAGTTTCATCAGTTATGAGTGACTGTTTGAGACAGCGCTTGGATTATTTGTAAGAGGTCACCACCATCTTGCAGCTTTTTTGTCATTTATACATCTTGTAGAAATCGTGTTGTGCATCCTTTTTTCACTATGAACAGATGTTATGAACCAAAAGATTATACAACTCTAAATGGACCTTTTAGTAGTACTGTCTGTAATTGAAGTTCTGTCTATGGGTTTTTATCAGGAAAGGGGCCTGGTCGAGTCTCCCTATGTGCCAGAAGTTTGCTGGAGTTGGGATCTAAACATCATTGAGTGACGGCACATTCATCATCATGTATCTTTAATCATGAAACATTTAAAATAATGAATGATTTTTTTTAAATCTTTCTGTTCAAGCTGTTTATACCAGATGACACGCTGGCTGGCTTCTACCTTTAACATCAGATGCAACAACTGTTTTGTTGTTGTTGTGTTTTGATTAATGTGAAAGAAAAGCATTTATTGGATCTTGTTACATTTATGTACAAACTTTTCAGTCTGCATTTACAAACTGTCTGTCTTGGGTGAACCTCACTGCATTTGTGTTTGGGAATTTTGAGACTCCCCTGTCGTGATTCAAATTCACAAATACATTTTTTTCAGCAGAGAAATGTCTGCAGCCAATCAGATGTCTCCTTCCTATTAGTGCTGGGCGATATATCGTGAAGCTCGATTCGATCGATATTTAATTAATGCTTGATATGGAAAAGGGAACATCGATTTTATTTTTAAACTACTTCCAAGTTTTCTTTCTTGCTTCTTTTGTCGAAGATTTCGTTGCTCCGTGAGATTTCCGCAGCAGCGCTTGTTGCGCGGAGACTTCACTCCTGCCGCTGAGTAGCCCAGCTCTTAAAAGCGACCAACACGGAGGAGAAAGATGCGAGCGAGGCCGAATTACTTCCAAAAAAAGGCTCATAACGCAGGGCCGACATTATAATTGGCCCGCTGGCCCGGATGAATGATTGACAGAGTCCAGCTGATTGCACGTTCAGCTGGCGGCTTCACTGCGTTTGGTAAAACGGTTTTAAAACCATCAGATCCCGACAAAAGCCGAGTTTAAATCAGCATTCAAGGAATAAAAATCACCGGAAAAGTCGAGAGTGACAGCAGGGCGAAAACAGAACGGAGAAAAGTTAGATCCACAGTGACAGACAGCTGGAGGAGCTGGAACACGTTAAAGTTGAAGACTAGATCCTGGTAAAGATCAAAGTTATTCACAAAGCACCTTAGCCCTGAAGAGAGCTCCTAAAGATCTAAAGATGAAGAGTTTCTCACAGAGAAGAAAGAAGGAGAGATTCCAGATCTATCACAGCCTCATATTAATATCAGATTAAGTAGACTCTTACAGCATGGTGAATAAACATGAGCACATAGATATAAGAAAAATACAAGTTTAAATATTTGATAAAAGTTGTTATTGACTTTTGCATCAGAATGGTTCAGGAGTAAATCGGTGACTGTTATTTTTCTAATCAAAGGTAATGTTCCTGAGCCAGTGATCACAGTGGTCAGGTCAGTGATATTTTCTTTTTATACAGTGGAGATTCAGTTTTATAGACTACATTTATAAACTTTAATACGATAAATATGGAATATCGACATTAGGCAAAAAAATATTGTGATATCAAATTTAGGCCATATCGCCCAGCACTACTTCCTATTCAGCCAATCAAGACATACCCACCTTTATTTCAATAGAGGAACGATAAACCACTTTAAACCGTTTTTTTCAAACAATGCTAAACTTGAGAGGATACTTTTCAAGGCGGCTTCAGGTATAAATGTTAATCAAATATTTTGGCGATGTAATCTCTCCTTTTGTATAAAGGTATATACACCTGTAGGAGCCATCATATGTATGTTTTATCTCTGCTTTGCTCCTAATAGGTCATTTGCAGTGGGGTGGTCTTACCTTGTAATTATATAAATAAGATGTGTGGTGAGAGAGTTTGAATATTTTCTGTTGACCGTCACCTCTTTTGTTTAATAAATCAACAATACCATCTGTTAAGCCAAGTAATGTATTTCATTAATTGTATGTTGTTTTTTTTTAATTTTCAAACAACATCCGCTCATTAACTTGATTATATCGTCGCTTCTACTGATGACACTTTTCATAAGCACACAAAGCAACAAACATGGACGCTAGAAGACGTAGCACAGAGCTCCTTTGTGCTTCAGTGGCAGAATGAAGAACATCAGGTATGTAGTTTACATTTTTATTCATTTGAGGGGTGTGGTTTAAGAAGAACAGGGGTGAGACTACGCTGCCTTGATGTGCTCCTCGGAAATGTCCCGTTTACGAGTTATGAGCACGTGAATGGCTGTTACTAACCTCAAGTTGAAATCATGAAACCAAGGTGTTCTTTGAGCTACAGGTATTCATGAGCATGTCCATGCCATCAATCATGCTGTGAGAACTAAACAAAATATACAAAGCATAAAATAAGAGAGCATCAAAAACATGTCACAAACACAAATTGACATATTTACACAATGTAGCTTTTTAAACACGGACTACAATGGCAGGCTGTCATTCATGCTATCATGATTGCCACTGGTTTAGCCTGTTAGCCATTAGCTTTACTATTAACATATTAGCCATTAGCTTCAGGTAGGCTATAATATAGAAACAACAACCAGAACACAACAGTTCACTTCATCGGCTGCATCAACCGAAAGGGGGGTAAAGGAAACTTCACTCATGGGTCAGTCTTCTCTTTATTAAACTTTTGAATGATACACAGAACCACTCTCAAACATCCTCCTGTGATCAACCTGCCACGTGCTCTGCCTCTCCTGGCCAGGTGAGGAACACAACTCTTAATGATGTCCCGCCCCCAACCACAGAAATAACAGAAAGCTCCTCTTATAGAGATATTCTTGATTATATTAATGTTTTATAATGAAAATATTGTTTTATTAAAAATGTATATTATTGTTATATTTAACTCAAAATGAAGAACTTAAAGTGTGCAGGCCTAACTGATCCTGATGACAGCTATAAGGGCCATTAAAAGTCTTAATGAGGAGTGGGAAATGTCGATTAAATCCAAGTTGTGAAGTTGTGATGTTTTAAGTCCTACATTGTAAAACTGTATCAGCACAATCAAAGCTAGTGAAATAAGTGAAATCATTAACACTGTTACACTAACATCACATTATCCATGCATTACATCTCTTTATTCTATTCTTTCTATTTCAGTATTCATCCAGTTCTGGTTACTTTATTCCTGATGTTTCTTATCCATCATTGCACTACGGTCACTTTATTTATCTCATTTTTACCTTTACAGTTATATTGTATATATTAGTTCTGTTGTTCCATTATTCACCTTATTAACTTATCATTTAGTATTTAGCCTATATAACTGCTCCATAAGTTTCTTCATCTGGTACAGATAAGCCACGCTCCAACTGATGTTTGACCAATATTTATTATTTTCCTTTTGTCAGCAAACACCGTGAAAAACTAAAATGAAGTAAATAAAGACACAAGCATTTATGAGCACGGATGACTATACAAAAGCTAAACAAAATGTCCTTTACAAATAAAAATACAATTACATACCGTGTGCGCCTTCTAACCAGAAATGTTTAGGCTTTGCAGTCTTTTAAAGTTCTTCACAGACGCGTCTTCTTCATCTGTGTCCTACCGTTGGTACTAGCATCTGACAGCACGTTTTTATTGCTCTAATTAAACATGTGAACACTGCATGCTGAACACTCAGCGCAATACACAATTAGACCAGTAGGTGTCAGTAACAGAGCATAGAATCTGAAGACATTTCAAAATAAAACATTTTCTCTGTAATTACAACAAATCCTGTTCAAAGAAATATAATGTTCTGCGACAGCTACACTGCCACCAAAATTACAAAGATTTATATTCATCATATGTCTCAACCAAACATTTAAATCAAGTAATTTTCGATGAATTAACAATCAATCTTCAAGTCATTAGAGCTTCAATGACATTAATAATATTGACTCTCAACCCAACAAACTATACTCCTTTTTGTATTTATTTTGTCTAATTTTAGTAGTATTTCACTTGTAGTTTAGGATTCATCCTCAACTAGAACCACTAGTTTTTGAACTGGCCGTTCAAGAAAAGAAAGTGGCTTCAAAAGTTCACCTTTCTTTCCTAAATCTCTCTTTCCTATTTGGATTTTAACCTTTCGCACAAGACCATCATCATCTTCCCTTGTCTCAACTACTCTGGCTAGTTTCCACTCATTTCTTGGAGTATTGTCATCTTTAACAATCACTGCATCCCCAACTCGTACATTTCTTTTGGGCGCATGCCACTGTTGTCTTAGGCATATGTTGGTCAAGTATTCCTTGCGCCACCTGCTCCAGAATTGTTCTGTCAGATATTGCACTCTCCGCCATCTTTTCCTGGCGTACAAATCTTCTCTGACAAAATTGCCAGGAGGCGGCAGGGGAAGAGATGTCTTCATCGTGAGTAAATGATTAGGCGTCAAAGGCTCAACACTTTTGGGGTCACTGATTGTATCTGTGGTTAGTGGGCGATTGTTCACAATCGACATGGCTTCATAGAAGAATGTTCTCAGTGAAGAGTCATCTAGCCTTCCTGTGACTTGTGCCAGGACAGACCTCATTACACTCCTGACTGTCCGGATCTGGCGTTCCCAAACACCACCCATGTGGCTTGCTTCAGGAACATTCATTAGGAAGTCGCATTGGTTTTGAGCCAGATAGGTAGAAATCCTCTCTTTGTCTAGCTTCAATAGACTTTTCTCCAACTCATTCTTTGCCCCGACAAAATTCGTACCTTGGTCAGATCGAATCTGTCTTACTGCTCCTCTGATTGCTATAAAGCATCTCAAAGCATTTATGAATGCATCAGTAGTGAGATCCTCTAACATTTCAATGTGAATGGCTCTGGAGCTTAAACACATGAACAACAGGCCATATCGCTTACATTCTTTCCGACCATGTTTTGTATAGAAGGGGCCAAAACAGTCAAGTCCAGTGTATGAGAAAGGGGGTGAAGGATCTACACGGTCAACTGGCAAGTCAGCCATGCGCTGTTCTTCAGTCGGTCCACGCACCTTTCTGCAAGTGACACAACACTTGATATGCTTGGCCACTACCTTACTGGCACCTATTATCCAATATCCGCTGGCCCTGAGTTCGTTCAATGTTTGGCCTCGGCCTTGATGTTGTGTTTTCTTGTGATAATGATCAAGTATTAGTTGTGTGATAATGCCTTCCTTAGGAAGTATTACTGGATGTTTCAGCTCAAAAGATGCAGAAGACTTTCTCAACCGCCCTCCAACCCTAAGCAAGTCATTAACGAGGATGGGATCAAGTTGGAACATCTTATGAGTTTTTGGTAGTTTAGCTGATTTTTGAGTAAACCATTTCAGCTCCTCTTCAAAGTCTTCTCTTTGCGCTGCCTGGATGAGTGCAAAAGATGCCAATTTTCTCTCTTCCACACTAATGGGCCCTGACTTGTCCCTCTTTGCCAGTCTTTTTATCCTTGCGACAACATTGAGGGTTGTATTCCAGTCAGAAAATCTTGAGAACCTTGCAAGAAAGCTGTCATTTTCAAGAGCATTTGTCTTCAGAACCTTTACCTCTGGATCACCAACGAGAAGTTCTGGAGAATGTTGAATCTTGACAATTTCCCGTTCCCATAAAAACTTCGGTCCAGTGAGCCAGTTTGAGTCAACCAAGTCTGCCACCTTGAGACCCCTAGAGAACCATTGTCTTGGATCTGTAGTGACATTTAAATTAGTCAATTCTTCGTTATTGACGTTTAATTATGTAACGTAAACTCATCAAAGTGAAGTAATGCAGCACTCTGAGATTTTTGTTCACTTTGACTTTAAAGTTCAAACATTTCCTTTCATCCTCAGTTTTCTTTTTTTCTTGTCTTGTCTGTTTGTTGTGTATCTGTGACTTTCTCCCCCTGACATCTCTTTGTTGTCTCATCTGTGTATCTCCTGCATGCAGTGATCACTTCTGAATGACTTGACTCATGTTTTTGAGGCTGTACTTTTCAGAGGCATAAGCAGGAACTTTATCCCAGAAGTTTCACATAGAAAAAAAACCAAACTCAAATATCTTGTCAAATGAATCAAATACACCGTTGTATAAAACGCCATGTAGGTGTAGCACATTCTTATTCCCCTCCTCCGTTATCCCATTAAATTAACGAGGAAGTGAATATTACTGCTCGATAATAACCTTGTTTTGCTCGCTGCTTTTTACACGTTTCATAAAGTGTTAAACCGCTTTGAGAAAAGCATCAGTGTGGATGTGTGTAGTGGAGAAATTTGAAATGTTGAGGCAACTTTTTCTTACAATGTCGTCAAATCTGAGCCGACGATTGGGCAGAAATAGACAAGTAGAACAATAGACTATAGTAACACTGTGTGTGTGTGTGTGTGTGTGTGTGTGTGTGTGTGTGTGTGTGTGTGTGTGTGTGTGTGTGTGTGTGTGTGTGTCTGTGTGTGTGTGTGTGTGTCTGTGTGTGTGTGTGTGTGTGTGTGTGTGTGTGTGTGTGTGTGCAGGAAGCTCGTCGCGGGCCAGCGGCATGCTGCTTCACTACAAACCGATGGGCTCCCAGGATGCTGAGCAGCTCCGCATGGAGGCAGCAGACGACAAGAAGGTGGCCTCGTTATGGTTAGCTGCGATGCACAAGGTACGACGTGTCGCACGACTTGACCTTGTAGAGCGCTTCTCAAAGCGCTTTTACACCGCAGGTCACAACTACACATTCACACCTCCTACACATTCACACCTACACATTCACACCTACACATTCACACCTCCTACACATTCACACCTACACATTCACACCTACACATTCACACCTACACATTCACACCTCCTACACATTCTCACCTACACATTCACACCTCCTACACATTCACACCTACACATTCACACCTCCTACACATTCACACCTACACATTCACACCTACACATTCACACCTACACATTCACACCTCCTACACATTCACACCTCCTACACATTCACACCTCCTACACATTCACACCTACACATTCACACCTACACATTCACACCTACACATTCACACCTACACATTCACTCCTACACATTCACACCTACACATTCACACCTCCTACACATTCACACCTCCTACACATTCACACCTACACATTCACACCTACACATTCACACCTCCTACACATTCACACCTACACATTCACACCTCCTACACATTCACACCTACACATTCACACCTACACATTCACTCCTACACATTCACACCTCCTACACATTCACTCCTACACATTCACACCTACACATTCACACCTACACATTCACACCTCCTACACATTCACACCTACACATTCACACCTCCTACACATTCACTCCTACACATTCACACCTACACATTCACACCTACACATTCACACCTCCTACACATTCACACCTACACATTCACACCTACACATTCACACCTACACATTCACACCTACACATTCACACCTCCTACACATTCTCACCTACACATTCACACCTACACATTCACACCTACACATTCACACCTCCTACACATTCACACCTCCTACACATTCACACCTCCTACACATTCACACCTACACATTCACACCTACACATTCACACCTACACATTCACACCTCCTACACATTCTCACCTACACATTCACACCTCCTACACATTCACACCTACACATTCACACCTCCTACACATTCACACCTACACATTCACACCTACACATTCACACCTACACATTCACACCTCCTACACATTCACACCTCCTACACATTCACACCTACACATTCACACCTACACATTCACACCTACACATTCACACCTACACATTCACACCTACACATTCACTCCTACACATTCACACCTACACATTCACACCTCCTACACATTCACACCTCCTACACATTCACACCTACACATTCACACCTACACATTCACACCTCCTACACATTCACACCTACACATTCACACCTCCTACACATTCACACCTACACATTCACACCTACACATTCACTCCTACACATTCACACCTCCTACACATTCACTCCTACACATTCACACCTACACATTCACACCTACACATTCACACCTCCTACACATTCACACCTACACATTCACACCTCCTACACATTCACTCCTACACATTCACACCTACACATTCACACCTACACATCACACCTCCTACACATTCACACCTACACATTCACACCTACACATTCACACCTACACATTCACTCCTACACATTCACACCTACACATTCACACCTCCTACACATTCACTCCTACACATTCACACCTACACATTCACACCTCCTACACATTCACTCCTACACATTCACACCTCCTACACATTCACTCCTACACATTCACACCTCCTACACATTCACTCCTACACATTCACACCTACACATTCACACCTCCTACACATTCACTCCTACACATTCACACCTCCTACACATTCACTCCTACACATTCACACCTACACATTCACACCTCCTACACATTCACTCCTACACATTCACACCTACACAGTCACACCTCCTACACATTCACACCTACACATTCACACCTACACATTCACACCTCCTACACATTCACACCTACACATTCACACCTACACATTCACTCCTACACATTCACACCTACACATTCACACCTACACATTCACACCTCCTACACATTCACTCCTACACATTCACACCTACACATTCACTCCTACACATTCACTCCTACACATTCACTCCTACACATTCACACCTCCTACACATTCACTCCTACACATTCACACCTACACATTCACTCCTACACATTCACTCCTACACATTCACACCTACACATTCACTCCTACACATTCACTCCTACACATTCACTCCTACACATTCACACCTCCTACACATTCACTCCTACACATTCACTCCTACACATTCACACCTACACATTCACTCCTACACATTCACACCTACACATTCACTCCTACAAATTCACACCTACACATTCACTCCTACACATTCACTCCTACACATTCACACCTACACATTCACTCCTACACATTCACACCTACACATTCACTCCTACACATTCACTCCTACACATTCACACACTGACGGTAGAGGCTGCTGAATAAAGATTCCATCAGAAGTAACTAATCCCATTCATACACCGCCGACGAAGCAGAGGGAGCAATTCGGGGTTAAGTGTCTTGCCGACGGACACATCGGGCATGTGGCTGCAGGATCGAACCCTCAACCTTTCAGTTGAGAGACGACCGACTGACACAGCCGCCCCTTGTGTGTGTTTTTAGGATAACAGTCCTGATAGTACCAAACATCTGGCTGACTGTTTATTTGATCTATTCTTCATGTTTGTGTTTTTCCCCGCAGGCGGCCAAACTCCTGTATGAAGCTCGTGACCTGTGACCTGCAGACGGCCTTCTGAACTGACCCTCCAGGCAGCACACACCCAAGTGTTCGTACCCCCGTCTCTCCGGGGGGGGTTTTCGGTAGAGTTTTGCTTTTATTAACGCCAGCTCTGATTCTGCGTTTTCCGTCTGATCTTTCGGCCTTTCGATGACATTTTTTTATTACGGTAATCTCAGCAAGACACGTTTATACAAATGAGAAACACTTTATTACCTCTTTAACCAGTACTTTGTACCTGTTTACTACAATGATGCTGAAGATCTCATTTTACATTTTGTCAAAGTTTGTCTCTGATTGAATCAGGGCGTTTAATGTTCCTGACAGCTGAGCAGCAGAAGACGCTTAACAACACCAGCAAGTATCTGATGCTTTTGCGACGCTTCTTCCTTTAAATGTATTTTGCTTTCACTCTAAATGTGACATTTTACCTTCCACATAACATTTTTTTATAACTTCAGAGATGCCTTCAGATATAGAGGCTCGGTCGATGACTTTAAATGCTGCAGTTAGACGACGGTTTTATTCACCAGATGTGACACTTTATGGATCCCTTTTTTTTTTTTTTAAATCTTTCACTTCGCTGACTCTCCTTCCAGAGTGTTTTCACTTAACGGTTAAACCAGTTTGAACACAGATCTTCCAGATTAAACATCATCTTATGCAGAGTAACGGACAGATCCACCTTTAACCCTTTAAAGCAGAAAGAAAAGCAGCTGTAGGTCATGTTCTTTGCATTTCAGGGCCCATTTTGTTATCAATCTAAGAGAGAAGATAAGAAACTTCACCGGATCTGTCTGTGTCACGTTCCAAGTGATTGGCTTTCAATTTTGACACATTTTAATGGTTTTTCTGGTGTTTTTATTATTCTTTACAGTCACATCAAAAAGCTGTTTGCTTCGATGTGTTAAAAGGAAGAATGTGCGACTGTTTGAATCCACTAGATGTCGCCCTTGAGCTACAGTATGAAACCAAAACAATCAGCTGTTTGGTGACACCTCCTCCAGACTGAACATATATTTTAAAACCAACGACCAATAAATACAATTTAAAAACTCCCACGAGTTAATTTCACATGTTAGATAAACTAATGAAACCTCACCTAACCAGGTACAATCAGTTTTTTAAATAATACCAGAGTGTGAGGAGTTCAAGTCAAGTGCTTAAAATCAAAGTGAGGACTTCTTTTTCTACATTTGTTTAAACTTTCAACAAACATAAATCATTAAAATCAACAGAAAAGAGCCACACAGAAAGCCCTTTATTCCCTCGCTGGAGCAGCAGGTGGCAGTGTTAAGGAGTGAAAGGCATCCTGGGAAATGTAGGATGCCCTAAGTGAAGCCGAGGCAGATTGAGGGAATATTCCTGAAATGCAAAGAACATCAGATTTATCAACAATTTGTAAACAAAATGTTTGTTGCTTTAAAGTAAATGAGTTAATAACATGTTAGGTGACGTGTTTTGTTGATTTTAAAACGTGTTAAAATCTCTGCTTTAGTCTTTACAGATGCTACCTTTAGGACTCGATGTCTAAGGAAACAAACTATTCACTGATTCTAGTGAAGCACACACACACACACACACACACACACACACACACACACACAAATGCTTTAAATGTACGTTCATGTATCCAAGTTTTTGTATAAGCTATTTTGTTAACTATTCCTACTTTAACACAAGGCGTGTACGTACTCACATATGATAGTTTTTGTAATATTTGTAAACGGTAATTCCTCTAGTCCTTTCTCAAAGACCTGAACTGTCTCTTTTTCTTTTTTTTTTATTATTATTTTCATAATACTTATTAAGACAGGATGTGACCCATCTTCCATCTCCCAGAGGTTTTGAGTTTGATGATTCAGCAGGTTATTAGTTGCACTTCCAAGGACCTATCACTAACAAAGACTTAGTTCTGGCTGAGTCGGTGAAAGTGTTGTTTAAAAAATGTGACATAATCGCTCTGATCAGCATTTTTATTCTGTCAAAAAGCGTTTTTTAAAAAGTTAGCCCCAGTATTTTGCCTCTTGTGAAATATCTTTACAAGACTGTTGAAACACTTACAACTCCTGTGAGGAACTTTAAGTTAGGGTTGATTTCAGCGCCCCCCTGTGGGGAGGCGGTACCTCTAATCTCATTGCTGATTTTGTCCTGTACGTGTCGTACCTTTTGGTCTGACCCTGCGGCAGTAGTTTCAGGCATTAAAGGTCTCCTCCTCTTCAACCAGTTTAAATAAGTCTCAGATCTCCTCAAAACATGTGTGTCAAGTTTCTTGTTCTAAATCCACTCTGATCCTGTATTTGATCATGTCTATAAACCCCTCTATTTCAGCCCTGCTCAGAACAGGCTGTTTCTGTGTCTGTACCTTTAAATATGTAAATGAGCTGTGTCTGACCACACCCCTCTCTGGAAGGACTTGGGGTGTACTCGGGCTTTCTCGCTCCATGTCCTATTGTTTACGGTGAGAAGGCAGACTCAGAGGACAGAACAAACACCTAGCTGTGGGAGTGTCACCCACCTGGGGGAGGGGTTACTGCCCTTTGTGATGTCATGAAGGGAAAATCTCCAAACAGCCTGTTTGAGCACACATTTTCTGAAAAGTGGAGCAGGCGAAAGACGGAGAGGATGGACTTTTCTCATCATTGGGGGGTTTGTAGACGGACTAGTGACACATGTTAGTGTTAGAAAAACATGGTGAAGTGGATTTTAGGAAATATGTGACCTTTTAAAAATGATTATATTGGTCTTGTTTGCTTTTCTAGTTCATACAGAGGCGTTGATATAAATTTCAGTCTGTTCTATAACAAACTAAAAACTCCTCACAGGAGCTTCAAATCTCAAGTCAAGTCAAATTATTAATGAATTTGTCGCTTATACAATATACACTGTGTTCTTTATTTAGCTGTGATAACCAAGTATAAAAGGCTTCTCAATTATTTGCGTTTTTAAACCTTTTTTTTGTTCGGTTACCTTGTTTTCTAAGCATAAAGCTGGAACTTTGAAGTGATTTAATGGAGCACAGACTAGGTCGACTTTCAGCCTTTTTACCTTCTTTGTCCTGACCTTTATGTCGTATCCCATGAAAAACAACATTCACCGCCTCCATCCCTACGTCTGTGACAAAAGTTTATTTTTATATTCTCCTCACCCCTGAAGGAAAATCCCACAATGTGTCGTTAGGTTGTCGTTTTTCAGAGCCGAAAAAGAAGAAGAGTTAGAGTTTAGTGTAACAGTGGTCGTTTTCAGTGTCGTGCACATTCACAAGGTCATCCACTCAAACTGTTTTAAACACCAACATCTCAGTTCTTCCATGTGTTTGGTTGTGTTGTAAGTTTGCACTTCCTGTGACACCACAAAGTCATGATTCAGCCAGTGTTTGTACCTGCACTTTATGTCCACCCAGATTCAGTCTTTTTCTTTTATTATTCCTCTGCTTCCTTTATTACGCTGAACGTGCTGTACTACATCCTTTTGTTGGAATATTCTGTTGAGAATAAAATCAAATGTTTATACATGTGTGGTGGTGTCTGTGTCTTGTAGAAAGCCTGTGCAGCAGTAACGGTGTAGAAACGTCACTCCCCCCTCCTATTGGCTCGAGCTGAATTCTCCAGAGAATATCCTGCTGCGTTCTCGCATCAGCCCACTCAGACTTGCTGTGGAAAAAAATACCAGGGGTCTGGCAGGAGAAACTCCGGGTGAAGTCCGAGCGAAAAATGTGGCTGTTTGCGTTCACATATACATAAAGCTCCTCCTGGAAATATCAGGAGTCTTTCAGGAGATTTCTGCAAGTTTGAAAGCTCTTTATGTCGACTTTTAACAGTCATGGACGTGATCTCAGTGACGTCATCCATTGGATTCAAAACGATGGCAATGGCCATATTGGAAATGCTGTCTAAGCTAACTTTTGGCCGGGGCTAACGGGCACCTTTACTCTCCTGACAAACGACCACAGCGTGCCAACCTGTAAGTCAACTTAGCCACACCCCTAATTTGAATAACTCTTATCCTTAATATATCCAAAGTAAATGCAAATCTCCCCAAGTGCTTAACATGACATGTTTATTTTCTGCTGTAAAAGGGGTGTTTTTACATGAGGGGGGTTTAATAATACTGTGAAAAATCATGGATGAAGCCTGGAGAAGCACCACACTTTGTTTCTGAACGGGTCTTTGGAATCTGATTGATGGCGGTCGCCACGCTGGAAATGCTGTCTCAACCTAACGACAGGCTAAGAGCTGAGGCGGGTTTTAAGCCTGCCGACGAACAGCTGCAACGCCCCCCCGTCTGTCAATCAGGTCAGCTACGCTCCTTATTATCAACAACTTGTTTATTTCATGACCACCTAAAAGAAGTTTTTACAGACAAAAATCTGTGATTTACAAACATGAGTTATTTTGTTATAATTATTTGTACTGAAACCCATGCTGACATTCAACATCTGAAATGTTGACAGATTCAGCATGAACATTAAAGGTATAGAGACCACCTCTCAGTAGTGTGAACAAACAGACAATCCTCTCCTCTGAAAAAAAAGCAGGTGTCAGGGATGATGTTCAAAAACCAGCTACAACTTATTAAATTGTTTTTGGTTGTTTTTGGCCTTTTTAGTAGGTGTTGGAAATGTGAATGCATTGACAATGATCCATAGTTTAAATATATCTACTTCAGAATTTTAATAGTAACCTGTAAAAAAACACAACTGAAATATTTTTGCAGGCTACTTCTATGAAGCACCAGCCTTCATTTCTCTGCTGGCTTGTGGTTTGTTTTTAATCTCTTGTAAAACAGGTTATTTGAGGTGTGGTTAACGTGTTCATGTTGTAGTTTTTTCTTCACTGTGTTTCTGGGTTTACTCTGCGTCGCTGTTTTTCCGTCTGCAGGTAATGTAACTTAATGTTTTATGATAGAAACCTCATTGTGTCATTCGTTGTTCAAATAGAGACATTCAAACTTAAGATTGTGTCCGAGAATGGAAACGAACAGAGGAGAACATCCTGTTCTTAATTTTTTTTATTACCGCGTTATCTTCAACGTGCCACAGTTATGAGACCTAGGGGGGACAATGCTGCATTTTAAAAATAAGCTTAGAAAAGGATAAAAATGAATGTGAAAAAGATAGGTCGAATTGTCTCTCAGCCTTTAAGAGTTGATTAAACTGTGTTGACTTTGTCTTATCTTTCACTGAAGCTTGGCTCAAACGGGGAAATGGCCTGGCAGGCTGCCAGGTTGGGATGTTGACTTTATAATGTAGCCTGTCCTAACCTGTTTGAAGGACAGGTTGAGGTGTTGTTGCTTAAGTTTCTGCTTAAGTTGCTGCACTTACCTGCATGTATGACACACCTGTTTTAACTTGTGTGGTCAGTAAGTTTATCCAGAATTGAAACTGAAATACTCGAGACAACATGTAATGACAGGCCGAGTGTCACTCTGTACGTTTGTGTCAGAGACAAAAACTAAAGACATTTTCTCTATTTTTTTATTTTAGGTCTTTTTTTTTACACAATACTGTTTCTGTTATGTTTTTGGTAAAGTTGTTTTAAATTTTAGTTTCAGTTAATGAAAATGTTTTTTACACTTGAGTTTTTGTTATTTGTTTGATTTCGTTAACAATCCTAACCTTGGAATGAACACATTCAACTTTTACTGGACTGATTCCTAATTTGTACTTTTCAGCATTTGTTGGGTCTGGATGTTTAACATTGCAATCTTCAAACTGTCTTACAGTTACATGTAGTCTTACACTGACCTGAACCACTGCATGATGTCAACTGTCAGGTCCTTCAAAGAAAAAAGCTCATCTCTAAGGTAAGATTTAATCAACCTTTAAATGTCATTGCAATTATTACACAACACACACACACACACACACACACACACACACACACACACACACACACACACACACACACACACCCTGGTCCCCTGAGACATGTTTGGTGTCTCGTTATCGTCTGACTGTAAAGACTTTATATCATAAATTAAAGGTTACATATTTAAAATACACTTTAACAAGTGTTTCTAACAGTAATATGTGTCGCTAGTCTGTCTCCAAACCCCCCAATATTAAGAATAAAGGGAGAAGTTCATCCTCTCCGTCTTTAGCTGCTCCACTTTTCAGAAAATGTGTTCTAACAGGCCGTTTGGAGATTTTCCCTTCATGACATCACAAAGGGCAGTAACCCCTCCCCCATGTGGGTAGGGGAATAGGATAAAGGTAGACCGATGTAAATAATTTTCTAATATCTAACGATCTAATCTCTCTCCCTCTCTTCCCAACAAACTTAGGCACAAGAGAAACCTTTCATCTGATCGACACATGGATTTCAGGTAAGATTTTCTCAACATTCAAATGTCTCTGGAATTAGTACACATTTTTGCATGCACATGCATACATTATCATGTTTAGGCACATCTATGTGCAAAAATTCAAAGTCCGCGGAAACGCAGCTTCTCCTACCTCCTCCTGTTAGCTGTAGCATTAGCTGCATGTAACACTCAGTTCTAGCCCCCCTCGAAAAAAAATTGTCAGTGTGACGTCTTGTCAGTGTGATGTCACTGATCTAAGCCCATTGGCTCGTTGTGGCAAGCCCTGCAGCTCATGTTGCACGCCCGTTAACTTCTGTGGCAACGCCCACGATATGCCGTAGCCTGCAGTAGCACAGTAGTGCTAACGTGCTAATGTTTTTGCAGAGCTGACAGGCCGACCAATCAGATCAGACTTGGCACACGTGGGGACTCTGAACGTGGGCGCTTCAGAGCCTTAGAGAGAGAGTCAGAAGCGAGCCGGTGCATGGAGCGGCAGTTCATGAAAACAGACACTTTTTTATAACTTTAGATATTGTGAACATACTTTAGTAGATACAGAGATTAAATATATGAACCACAAAAAGAACATAATATGACCTCTTTAAATATAAACTTCCTGGTTGATATCAAATCGGGAAATTTGCTGCTGGGAAATTTTTTTAGAGACGATATGTTGTTGTAGGGACTACTTGTTAAAAAACTTGACTGTCCATGCTGTCCTGTCTGGATCAGAAAACATTTTGTACCAACTTCAACTTCATGGGGAAATTTGCTTTGCAGCCAAGTAACTCAATAAAACATACAAAACTTAAAGACACAGACTCACTTACAAGAAACATTAAGATGTACAGATACAAGAAAACAGACAAACAGTATTAATAACACCTGTTGCTTTGTTCAACAACCTGTCATCATTTTCATGTGTATTTTCACTCTGATGAAGTTTAATCACACAGTGCTTGTTACTTGATGCAGGATGGAGAGGGAGGAGGAGGACAGCATCGGGGCAGATGATTGGACCCAGGCATCAAACAGAGGTAAGTTGAATCTGTGTCATTCAGATGTCTTTTATCCCCTCATATATTCAGACGAAGCTGGCGTGCTCACTGTGTACCGGGTATTACTCGGTAGTGGGGACACATTGCAGGAAAAACGCCAACCACGGACCCTGCTGCAGCTTTTTGAACATGGTGCCCTGCTGTCTTTATTCCTGCTAATAAAAAGTATTGTTTTTCTAATAAAGTTTCATCAGTTATGAGTGACTGTTTGAGACAGCGCTTGGATTATTTGTAAGAGGTCACCACCATCTTGCAGCTTTTTTGTCATTTATACATCTTGTAGAAATCGTGTTGTGCATCCTTTTTTCACTATGAACAGATGTTATGAACCAAAAGATTATACAACTCTAAATGGACCTTTTAGTAGTACTGTCTGTAATTGAAGTTCTGTCTATGGGTTTTTATCAGGAAAGGGGCCTGGTCGAGTCTCCCTACATCCCAGAAGTTTGCTGGAGTTGGGATCTAAACATCATTGAGTGACGGCACATTCATCATCATGTATCTTTAATCATGAAACATTTAAAATAATGAATGATTTTTTTTAAATCTTTCTGTTCAAGCTGTTTATACCAGATGACACGCTGGCTGGCTTCTACCTTTAACATCAGATGCAACAACTGTTTTGTTGTTGTTGTGTTTTGATTAATGTGAAAGAAAAGCATTTATTGGATCTTGTTACATTTATGTACAAACTTTTCAGTCTGCATTTACAAACTGTCTGTCTTGGGTGAACCTCACTGCATTTGTGTTTGGGAATTTTGAGACTCCCCTGTCGTGATTCAAATTCACAAATACATTTTTTTCAGCAGAGAAATGTCTGCAGCCAATCAGATGTCTCCTTCCTATTAGTGCTGGGCGATATATCATGAAGCTCGATTCGATCGATATTTAATTAATGCTTGATATGGAAAAGGGAACATCGATTTTATTTTTAAACTACTTCCAAGTTTTCTTTCTTGCTTCTTTTGTCGAAGATTTCGTTGCTCCGTGAGATTTCCGCAGCAGCGCTTGTTGCGCGGAGACGAAAGGGCGGAGGAGACTTCACTCCTGCCGCTGAGTAGCCCAGCTCTTAAAAGCGACCAACACGGAGGAGAAAGATGCGAGCGAGGCCGAATTACTTCCAAAAAAAGGCTCATAACGCAGGGCTCGACATTATAATTGGCCCGCTGGCCCGGATGAATGATTGACAGAGTCCAGCTGATTGCACGTTCAGCTGGCGGCTTCACTGCGTTTGGTAAAACGGTTTTAAAACCATCAGATCCCGACAAAAGCCGAGTTTAAATCAGCATTCAAGGAATAGAAATCACCGGAAAAGTCGAGAGTGACAGCAGGGCGAAAACAGAACGGAGAAAAGTTAGATCCACAGTGACAGACAGCTGGAGGAGCTGGAACACGTTAAAGTTGAAGACTAGATCCTGGTAAAGATCAAAGTTATTCACAAAGCACCTTAGCCCTGAAGAGAGCTCCTAAAGATCTAAAGATGAAGAGTTTCTCACAGAGAAGAAAGAAGGAGAGATTCCAGATCTATCACAGCCTCATATTAATATCAGATTAAGTAGACTCTTACAGCATGGTGAATAAACATGAGCACATAGATATAAGAAAAATACAAGTTTAAATATTTAATAAAAGTTGTTATTGACTTTTGCATCAGAATGGTTCAGGAGTAAATCGGTGACTGTTATTTTTCTAATCAAAGGTAATGTTCCTGAGCCAGTGATCACAGTGGTCAGGTCAGTGGTATTTTCTTTTTATACAGTGGAGATTCAGTTTTATAGGCTACATTTATAAACTTTAATACGATAAATATGGAATATCGACATTAGGCAAAAAAATATTGTGATATCAAATTTAGGCCATATCACCCAGCACTACTTCCTATTCAGCCAATCAAGACACACCCACCTTTATTTCAATAGAGGAACGATAAACCACTTTCCATGGTTTTTTTTAAACAATGCTAAACTTGAGAGGATACTTTTCAAGGCGGCTTCAGGTATAAATGTTAATCAAATATTTTGGCGATGTAATCTCTCCTTTTGTATAAAGGTATATACACCTGTAGGAGCCATCATATGTATGTTTTATCTCTGCTTTGCTCCTAATAGGTCATTTGCAGTGGGGTGGTCTTACCTTGTAATTATATAAATAAGATGTGTGGTGAGAGAGTTTGAATATTTTCTGTTGACCGTCACCTCTTTTGTTTAATAAATCAACAATACCATCTGTTAAGCCAAGTAATGTATTTCATTAATTGTATGTTGTTTTTTTTAAATTTTCAAACAACATCCGCTCATTAACTTGATTATATCGTCGCTTCTACTGATGACACTTTTCATAAGCACACAAAGCAACAAACATGGACGCTAGAAGACGTAGCACAGAGCTCCTTTGTGCTTCAGCGGCAGAATGAAGAACATCAGGTATGTAGTTTACATTTTTATTCATTTGAGGGGTGTGGTTTAAGAAGAACAGGGGTGAGACTACGCTGCCTTGATGTGCTCCTCGGAAATCTCCCGTTTACGAGTTATGAGCACGTGAATGGCTGTTACTAACCTCAAGTTGAAATCATGAAACCAAGGTGTTCTTTGAGCTACAGGTATTCATGAGCATGTCCATGTCATCAATCATGCTGTGAGAACTAAACAAAATATACAAAGCATAAAATAAGAGAGCATCAAAAACATGTCACAAACACAAATTGACATATTTACACAATGTAGCTTTTTAAACACGGACTACAATGGCAGGCTGTCATTCATGCTATCATGATTGCCACTAGTTTAGCCTGTTAGCCATTAGCTTTACTATTAACATATTAGCCATTAGCTTCAGGTAGGCTATAATATAGAAACAACAACCAGAACACAACAGTTCACCTCATGGGCTGCATCAACCGAAAGGGGGGTAAAGGAAACTTCACTCATGGGTCAGTCTTCTCTTTATTAAACTTTTGAATGATACACAGAACCACTCTCAAACATCCTCCTGTGATCAACCTGCCACGTGCTCTGCCTCTCCTGGCCAGGTGAGGAACACAACTCTTAATGATGTCCCGCCCCCAACCACAGAAATAACAGAAAGCTCCTCTTATAGAGATATTCTTGATTATATTAATGTTTTATAATGAAAATATTGTTTTATTAAAAATGTATATTATTGTTATATTTAACTCAAAATGAAGAACTTAAAGTGTGCAGGCCTAACTGATCCTGATGACAGCTATAAGGGCCATTAAAAGTCTTAATGAGGAGTGGGAAATGTCGATTATATCCAAGTTGTGAAGTTGTGATGTTTTAAGTCCTACATTGTAAAACTGTATCAGCACAATCAAAGCTAGTGAAATAAGTGGAATCATTAACACTGTTACACTAACATCACATTATCCATGCACTACATCTCTTTATTCTATTCTTTCTATTTCAGTATTCATCCAGTTCTGGTTACTTTATTCCTGATGTTTCTTATCCATCATTGCACTACGGTCACTTTATTTATCTCATTTTTACCTTTACAGTTATATTGTATATATTAGTTCTGTTGTTCCATTATTCACCTTATTAACTTATCATTTAGTATTTAGCTACCTGCACATAGCTCTGTATATATATATATATTTCTCATTTTACTGCACATAGTTCTGGTTACATCTGTTTACATCTGTCAGTCCGATCACTGTCCACTTATATCTACTCTTTTTATATTTTGTATTTTCAAGTTAAGTTTAAGCTTTAAGTTGTATTTAAATTGACACTTTATATTTAGGTTAAAATGTTTTGTCTACTTGCACTCTTGTTAATTTACTGCTCTGTGTCTTTGAATTGCCCCGCAGGGACAAATAAAGTTTTTTTGAATTTGAATTGAATTAGTGTCTGCTCTGTTAAAAACACAGACTGAGCAGTAGTCACACATTCTCTGGAAGAAGCTTCTGGAGCACCAGAGTCAATAATATTCCAAAATCAGAGCTATTTAAGAAAACACTTTGGGAAAGACAACTACTGAACATGGTTTATACATTAACTGTGTTCAGATCTGTTCTCCTGCAGCTTCTTCCTCTTTAATGTAGTCTGTGTAATGTGTAAGGGGTTAAAGGAGAGGAGGTGTGGTTAAGGTTGCTGAATTACTTTTTTCAATCTGTGTCGCAGTTTGTTTTTCTCCATCTAAAGGTACTATCGTTTGATGTTTTATACCTTAAAGAAAGTAATTTATTTATTTAATTGTGTCCTTCTGTTTGGAAAGTTTGTCAGAAAATGTATAGAGGACGTGTTTTCTTTATTTTATATCTGTGTTTTTACCACCGCTGATGTTGAAGAGATACACCCTGTGAGGCCTGAGACGATTGTACAACATTTTTAGACGAAACTGAGAAATGAATCTGAGTTTGAGTGAACTCATACGGGTAAAGAATTCTTCATAAGCTTTATTTCAGTATTTAGAAGTTGGTTTAATGGTGTTTACTTTTTCATATCTTCAGAAGCTCGGGTACAAAATGAAGAAACACGTCAGCAGCCTTTACGCTATAAAACCTAAGATAACATTTGTTAGTCTACATATTGATAACTTTTAGAAAAGTTGATTAATATTAAAGGACAATTTGACGTCATTATTTAAACCTACACTTTAGTTTGAATAACTTTTTTAGATTATACAAAAAGGTTTATTTTGGGTTTTTCAAGCCTTCATTTTAAGACAGGACAGTGGATAGAGTCAGAGTCAGAGAGAGAGAGAGAGAGAGAGAGAGAGAAGAGAGAGAGCAGGTCGGATTCGAACCGGCCGCCCGCTTGGAGGTCCAGTCGTCATAACAATCACCAGACTACCAGCGCCCCCAGATGTTTATTTTAGAAGTCTGTTTAAATAAATAACTTTTAATAAATGTAGACTAGGCCTGTTGTACCATCCAGTGTTTCTAAATCCTCAAACTAATCAGATGTAGTTTATTTTATTGTTTGTTTTTTAGACTTTTAAAACAATGAAAGCACCAGAGTCAATAATATTCCTAAAATCAGAGCTATTTAAGAAAACACTTTGGGTAAAGACAACCTACTGAACATGGTTTATACATGAACTGTGTTCAGATCTGTTCTCCTGCAGCTTCTTCCTCTTTAATGTAGTCTGTGTAATGTGTAAGGGGTTAAAGGAGAGGAGGTGTGGTTAAGGTTGCAGCAATTACTTTCGTTTTCAATCTGTGTCGCAGTTTGTTTTTCTCCATCTAAAGGTAGGCCTATCGTTTGTGCATGTTTTATATCCCTTTAAAGAAAGTAATTGCAGCACTGATTTATTTAATTGTGTCCTTCTTTTTAGAAAGTGTGTCAGTATAGAGTATAATGTAGAGGCCAGAGGACGTGTTTTCTTTCTTTATATCTGTGTTTTTACCACCGCTGTAGTTAGAGTGATAGCCTACATCCTGTGAGGCCTGAGAGATAAGGAGGGTATAACGAACCACATTTTGGACCAAACTGAGAGATTCATCACAGTTTGTACCAGTCCATTGTAAAACTGTATTCACACAATCAAAGATAGTGAAATAAGTGGAATCATTAACACTGTTACACTAACATCACATTAATCTCTTAGAGAGAGAGAGAGAGAGAGAGACAGAGACAGAGAGAGAGAGAGAGAGAGACAGAGAGAGAGAGAGAGACAGAGAGAGAGAGAGAGAGACAGAGAGAGAGACAGAGAGAGAGAGAGAGAGAGAGAGAGACAGAGAGAGAGAGAGAGAGAGAGACAGAGAGAGAGACAGAGAGAGAGAGAGAGAGAGAGACAGAGAGAGAGAGAGAGACAGAGAGAGAGACAGAGACAGAGAGAGAGAGACAGAGAGAGACAGAGAGAGAGAGACAGAGAGAGAGAGACAGAGAGAGAGAGAGACAGAGACAGAGAGAGAGAGACAGAGAGAGACAGAGAGAGAGAGACAGAGAGAGAGAGACAGAGAGAGAGAGAGAGAGACACCAGGCCCCAAGATGTTTTTACATTTTTCTGGTTAAACAAATAACTTTCTGATATTTCAGTGTTTCCTAAATCCTCAAACTAATCAGATGTAGTTTATTTTATTGTTTGTTTTAAGTCTTGAAACACATGTTTTAGTTTTAAATGTTGTTCTGAACTTGAAATATAAACACATGTTTTAGTTTTAAATGTTGTTCTGAACTTGAAATAAAAACACAGTCAGATCAGTGCGCTCTGCAAGTTTTAAAGTTGTGATTTATGTACAAAAAATATAATTCAGTACGTCTTAAAGTCCTTCTCTGAGAGCACCGACCTCCATTTGTGGAGTGGCTGAGGCACAACAGTTTCCTTCTATAATGATAAAAGTGTTTATTTGTGTGTGTCCGTTAAGGAGGAAATGGAGAATCCTAACTCTGCATTTCCTTTTTCAGCCCAGAGCCGTGCAGAGACCAGACTCTGAAGAACTCAGTATGTCTGACTCACTGAGGAACCGCAGGTTACAACACTGGCTTAATGAGTAAGTCAACATCATGTTATTAAGATTTTTAACATCTATATGAGTGAACAATTCTGCTGTTAGTGTTTGACCTGAAGAGAAAACAGCATACTTCAAATCAAAGTTCATCTGGTTTAATCCTGTTCTCTGTGCTGAACATATTCACAAAGTCAATAAAAACGACCTCCTTTCTAGATGATTTAAACGACTCGACATAGTCAAGAGAAAAGAGGAGGCTTCTTTTTAAAGAGGAGACATCCATTCAGAGCGAACACAATCTGCTTTATATCATATTCTAAAAGGAACATCTGATGCATTCTTCATAGTTTCCCTGTAAGGACCAGTTGCTGCATGTGGTTTGATCACAAACAGTCAAATTTCCACAGTTTGCTTGTTCAGAGAAAAATATATGTAAATGTAAATCCATTGATAGGAAAGTACTTTTTAACTGAACTCTTCTGGTAATATGATTCCCACCCTGAGGTCTTCTTCTCAGCAGCAGAGCCAGAAAAACATTCAAAAGGGTTTTTCACTTTGTGGTGGTACATATTGTTTTTGGAATCAAGCAGTTTCTGGGTTTGATCTAATGACAGAAAGTTGTCAGATTCATCTGGTCCGTCCTTCAGGAGGGATTAGTCAAAGGAGAGAGAGAAGAATGCTACTGCCTCTGGTTTACATGTTGATAGAAAGGCAGACATTGACATTATAGCATCATAAAGCGGACTCTGTTTCTTGTCAAAAAGGTTGAACCCCGGGTCGTCCACTTGGATGGCTTTAGCCTCCATACATGAGACGTTACGATCTGCTAGGTCATCAGTCACCTGTTTGTTGAACATTTTATAAAATGACAAAGAAAACTCATAACCTCTTTGACTGATTCCACTGTTTTATATCATATTTAAAAATAATCTGGATTTTCTTTTGATATGAACTTTTTTCTGGTGAAGTTGCATCATAACCGTGTTTATTGTTACAGGCTCAACTCGACCTCCACCCAATCGATGATAGATGGCGCTGAAGCAGCAGATGATGATAATGAGTCAGGATACTCATCTGTCAGTCAGTGAGTGAAATGTGCTTACATCTTATTCAGACTGACAGTTTTAAAAATATCAATATTTTGATGAGGCTTAACCATATCAGTTAAAACTGACATCGAGTGCTTTCACACGGACTTGAGTATCACATTCATTTATTTTTTAAAGATTTCGTTTTAGGACAGATAAGCGGATAGATTTGGAAATCAGGGACAGAGAGTGGGGAGTGACATGCAGGACAGGAGCCACAGGTCGGATTCAAACCCTCTATATATTGGGCGCGCGCACTAACCACTCAACAAAAAAATACAACTGATGTTTAGTGAATTTTTAAAAATCTACTTATTACACCTTTAAGAAATTTTCTTTTTTCAAATCTCAACACGCTGCTACTTTCATCAAACACTGGATGATGATTAACAACACACACATTCTCTCTGAAGTTCTTTGTTTTGATGAAGTTATGGATTTCCTTTAAATGTTTTTTTTTTTTTTCAAACTTGTTGTTCCTGTTGGTCCAGAAATGTTCCAAATAGTCAGGTTGATCAGGTTTAAAGTTCATGTAAGAATCAGGAGTTTATCATTCAGAGTGAACTAAATCAAGTCTTACTGGATCAATGTCTAATTTAGAAGTTTTAGTTTTTCATCTGTTGTTGTGGTTTGATATCTAACTATCTAATCTTTCTCTCTTTTTCAGCTTTCTCAGTGATGACGACCAATCGACATGTCCATCTGTTCCATCCCTCCACAGTGATTGGTCAAATGGAAAAATGATTGCTTTCAAGAAACTAGAAAAAAGTGACCCAAACAAGTAAGTGTTTTCAACATTGAATCCTGACAGTCATGTTTGTACACACACACACACACACACACACACACACACACACACACACACACACACACACACACACACACACACACACACACTGAGTCTGTTTTGCTGCATGTTTAAAAAACAAATACAATCTCATGTTGAGTCGATCATGTTTGCACTCTGAAAACTTTCATCTGTCTTTATTATTTTCACAACAGGTTTGTTTTTCTAACTTTTTTTGCATCCTTGCAAAAATGGCTCGATGACTCCATTCTGTCTCACACTGACAATTTTCAGAATGAAGAGAAGAATGAACACATCTGACTCAGAGTGTGAGGTTCCTGTGTAACGTTTTGATCGGATTACAGATCTGAAAAACACATTTAAAAAAAACAGACTCAGTGTGCAAAGACCTTAAAGATGAAACAACCCCCATGGATGATGTAAAGCAAACACCATGCTCCTGTTTAAAAGATGTTGAAGTGATGTTGAGTTTTCAAGTGAAATGTTTGACTGAAACATCAACACCTCCTCTCTACTTTGATCCTTTGTGTCATTCATGGAATAAAGAAACAACACAGTGTTTAATGTGTTGCTCAGTGTCTGCTTTGCTCTTCATATTTCATTTGTAATAAAGAAACATCATCAGTGTGTCTCTTGTTGCAGGTCTCTAATTTGGCGATTTCTGCAGGAAGAGAAGAAACTCATTCAAATCCAGGAAGAACTTGTTTTGGCCGACCTCTCACCTGATTGGTGAGTAAAATGTATTTACAACATATACAGTATGTATTCTTTCAGATGAAGCTGTGAACATCATTTTAATGTTTTTTTTCTTCAGAAAGGTAAATTGATTTTTGTTTTCACATATATTTAAAATTATTGTTCCTGCTGGTTCAGAAATATCTCATAAAAAACTCAGGTTTGATTTCCATATGAGAAGCTGGGTTAATCATTCAGAGTGAACCAGATCAAGTCTGACTGGACTAATCTTGAAGTTTTTCATCTGTTGTTGTGGTTTGATATCTAACTATCTAATCTTTCTCTCTTTTTCAGCTTTCTCAGTGATGACGACCAATCATCAAGTTCATCTGATCCATCCCTCCACAGTGATTGGTCAAAAGGACAATTAATTGATTTCAAAAAATTAGAAAAAGACTACCCAGCCAGGTAAGTGTTTTTAACATTGAATCCTGACAGTCATGTTTGTACACACACACACTGAGTCTGTTTTGCTGCATGTTGAAAAAACAAATACAATCTCATGTTGAGTCGATCATGTTTGCACTCTGAAAACTTTCATCTGTCTTTATTATTTCAGAACAGGTTTGTTTTTTGTTTGAAAACACATCTGACTCAGAGTGTGAGGTTCCTGTGTAACGTTTTGATCGGATTACAGATCTGAAAAACACATTTAAAAAAAACAGACTCAGTGTGCAAAGACCTTAAAGATGAAACAACCCCCATGGTTGATGTAAAGCAAACGCCATGCTCCTGTTTAAAAGATGTTGAAGTGATGTTGAGTTTTCAAGTCAAATGTTTGACTGAAACATCAACACCTCCTCTCTACTTTGATCCTTTGTGTCATTCATGGAATAAAGAAACAACACAGTGTTTAATGTGTTGCTCAGTGTCTGCTTTGCTCTTCATATTTCATTTGTAATAACGAAACATCATCAGTGTGTCTCTTGTTGCAGGTATCGAAGATGGCGACATCTGCAGAAACTGAGGGAACGTCTTCGAGTGCGAGAAGAACGTTTTTTGGCCGACCTCCCACCTCATCAGTGAGTAAAATGTATTTACAACATATACAGTATGTATTCTTTCAGATGAAGCTATGAACATCATTTAAATGTTTTTTTCTTCAGAAAGGTAAATTGATTTTTGTTTTCACATATTTCTAAAATTATTGTTCCTGCTGGTTCAGAAATATCTCATATAAAAAACTCAGGTTTGATTTCCATATGAGAAGCTGGGTTAATCATTCAGAGTGAACCAGATCAAGTCTGACTGGACTAATCTTGAAGTTTTTCATCTGTTGTTGTGGTTTGATATCTAACTATCTAATCTTTCTCTCCACAGTGATCGGTCAAAAGAAAAAAAGTTTATTTCAAAAAATAGAAAAAAGCAAGCGAAACAAGTAAGTGTTTTCACAATGAATCCTGACAGTCATGTTGTACACACACACACACACACACACACACACACACACACACACACACACACACACACACACACACACACACACACACTGAGTCTGTTTTGCTGCATGTTTAAAAAACAAATACAATCTCATGTTGAGTCGATCATGTTTGCACTCTGAAAACTTTCATCTGTCTTTATTATTTTCACAACAGGTTTGTTTTTCTAACTTTTTTTGCATCCTTCCAATCCGTGTTCAGGATCAGTTTCTGTGTGTAAATTGGTGGTGTTCCTTTAATGTGTAGTTTCAGTATAGCTAGCAGCGTATCAAACTCTGACATCCTGAAATACACCTGAAGTGATGCTGATCATTCTGCAGCTCTTTTATCAACAGGGAAACTCTCCTGGCTCTTGTCTTGTTTTCAGGAGTGGGTGGACCCAGAGGTTTTTATTTATTTATTTTTTAAGGACTGAAAGAATCACAAAGTCATCCTCACGGCTCGATGACTCCATTCTGTCTCACACTGACAATTTTCAGAATGAAGAGAAGAATGAACACATCTGACTCAGAGTGTGAGGTTCCTGTGTAACGTTTTGATCGGATTACAGATCTGAAAAACACATTTTAAAAAAACAGACTCAGTGTGCAAAGACCTTAAAGATGAAACAACCCCCATGGTTGATGTAAAGCAAACGCCATGCTCCTGTTTAAAAGATGTTGAAGTGATGTTGAGTTTTCAAGTCAAATGTTTGACTGAAACATCAACACCTCCTCTCTACTTTGATCCTTTGTGTCATTCATGGAATAAAGAAACAACACAGTGTTTAATGTGTTGCTCAGTGTCTGCTTTGCTCTTCATATTTCATTTGTTATAAAGAAACATCATCAGTGTGTCTCTTGTTGCAGGTATCAAAGATGGCAAAGCCTGCAGAAACAGAGGGACATATTCAAATCAAGTTTTTGGCGACCTCCCACCTGATGGTGAGTAAAATGTATTTACACATATACAGTATGTATTCTTTCAGATGAAGCTATGAACATCATTTAAATGTTTTTTTTCAGCAAAGGTAACGGATCTTTGTTGTCAGTCTCTATTGTTCATGAATATGTTTATTTCATATTTTGATAATTACATTTTGTAAATCAACATTTTAGAGCCGGACCGTCTTCTCCTTCAGAGAAAATGACATGATGCTTTATTAATGAACATTTTGTTCAACGACACAAAGTATAAATAACATGTTTCTTTTTTTTACACTTACTTTGATCATATTAAAAAAATGAGCTGCTTTTGATTTTAATGTTTATTTTGATGAAGAATAATCATACAATACTTATTACTCCATGCAGGATGAAGAGGAGGAAGAAGAGGTGGTGGAGGAGGAAGAGGAGGAAGAGAAGGAAGAGGAGGAAGAGGAGGATGACGAGGAAGAGGAGGAAGAGGAGACCAAATCAGTGATCTAAAAGTCTGAACTTTGTGTCTGGACTTTGGGCTGACTGGTTGTTTGAAAACCATGTTGAGTATAATGATCTGTAGCTCTTTTTGTGACAGCTTGATTTGGATACTTATGGATAAAACAAATGTAAATGATAAGATTTGTTAGTGACATAAGATGATGAAGTCAACTCAGCCTTAAAAACAACTGTTGTTTTCTATTATCTTACTGTCATCTGTGTACTCATTCTTTCATTTTCTCTGCTGGGATTCTTTTGATTGATTGAAGTCTTTATTTCAAATTTGTATTTTCTTTTCCCCCCCTTTGTTTCAGGATAAAAAAACAAACAAAACAGATCCACAAAAAGAAAAGTAAATAAGACAACAGAACATTTGAATTTCATGTTCGTAAAGAAGTGGGAAGAAGTGTGAATTTATAGAATCCCACCCCCTCTCCGTTAATCTGTAGTTAATAGTTGAACAGGCTTCCTTATTTAATCTTCATTTACGAATAAATAATAACGAATCTGCAATACACATTTATATATATAAACCAATAAACATACAAAATATATAAATTAAATACAAATTGTTCTGCAAAATATAATTTCATCTATCATCCATTAAAAAAAGATAAGGACAGCACTCCAAATTTGTGTATTTAATTGCCAAACGAACGTTTCGAGCCGACGCTCTTCTTCAGCGTGTAACAGGCAATTTTTCAACATGCACAGGTGTAATCAATTTATACTTGTCCAAGATGGACACACCTCCATCGCAGTAGAGAGTCTATCATTGTTTGTCTATCATTTATCAACCATTGACATATTGAACATGTATTGATTTCTTTTATCTTCTATATTCATGTTCTTCTCCCTTAATTAATGATATACAGTTTGTAGTAATACATTTAAGTTAGTGTTTTTTTCTCCATTACCTATTTACCCTTCACCATACCTGTCAACATATTTACATATATACCTTCATTCCTTTTAGAAAAACTAACATAAGAAAAAAATTAACAACCGTTATAATCACCATCATAACCACGTAGAAATTTTGTACATTTTTTTAAAACTTGTTTGTGCTTCAGCTCCACATTTAAACTGTTTAAAGTTTTACACCAACAATAGAAATTTGTGATCCAGAAGATGTTTTGCTTTATTTAGGACTGAAATGCTTCTTGACGTTGGCTTGTATTTGTTTCATTTGAGCTTTTCAGCTGATTCTGTGATCTATTGTTACCCAACAAATGTTAGACATAAACTCTTTCAATGCTGACACCATCTATTTGTCACTGTATTTTTGTGTTTGCTTTATATTTACCAAATAAAATCATTTTTATGTGATTCAAATTTAATGACAATTTATTTATATCAAAGCACTTTTTTAATTGTTGCCATTTCTGTAGTAATAACCTCTAATAATTGTAGATTCTCACCTGAACAAAGAATATTGTTATCATCTGCAAATAAGACCAGCTTCAGTTTATTAGAGACTTTACATACAGTATGTCATTAATGTATTAAATAAAACAGATTAGGACCCAACACTGACCCCTGGGGATGCCACAAGCAATGTCCAAGCACGATGATTAAAACTCCCCCAACTTCACAAATTGTTGCCTACGATACGATCCCCCTGATGCCACATCGTTCTAGTTTATTGATCAGTATTTCATGATTTATTGTGTCAAATGCTTATTTGTAGTCCAAAAATACCCCAACTGCTTTGTGATTTCCTCTTGATTCTATTAATGCGAATGATGTTGAATGGTTTGTCTGAATCTGTATTGTACGGTGGCTGGGAAGTACAAACCAAAAGACAAATTCACTCTCTGGAAAACATTTTATAAACAAAATTACAAAAGCAAAACACTTTTACCAAGGACACAAATTATTTACATTTCAGAAAACAAATTTAAAAGGTGTCAAACACTTTTACGAGCGCTGAGAGGAATTTACAAATGCCAGAATCTTGATGGAAAGGGAATGTACCAAATGCCAGAAGCGGTCACTTAACCTGTTTTCACATATGCAGACTATTCCTGTATCACAATGTCAACTAAAGAGTGAGAACAACATACTGACGAACAGAAAACTTAATGCAGTCGTTTAATTACCTGCATGGAGATCGTACGGTGTATACACTTTATGCACCGTGCAGCAGTCACAGTATACACGTCACTCCCCCCTCCCATTGGCTCGAGGTGAATTCTCCAGAGAATATCCTGCTGCGTTCTCACATCAGCTGACTTGGATTTCCTGTGGAAAAAAATACTATGGTGTGTGGCAGGAGAAACTCCGGGTGAAGTCTGAATGAAAAATTTGGCTGTTTGCGTTCACACATGCAGCTCCTCCTGGAAATATCCTGATTTTTTTTTTAGAATTTTTCTGAAAGTGTGTAAGCCTTTTCCTGTCTCTCTTCAGCTGTCCTATCAAATAAAGGTAAATATGGCCCAATAGACTGCGTTAAACTTTGTTTTGTCCTTTGTGAAAGTGTTTTCCTTTTGTAATTTTTATTTCATAAAATGTTTTCCAAAATTTAAATTTGTCTCCAGCTTTGTAAAAGTATTTCACACTTACTTTTTCAAGTAAGCAACAGCCAAATAAGTGTGAAGTATAGCTGTATTAAGTGGCATAAATGAAGAAGGAAAAACAAACAAAAGAATGGATAGGTATAGGTAGTGCTAGTAGACTAAATTACCTCAAAACTGTACTAAAGTTCAGTATTTAATTAATGTTAATTTAGTTTATAGTTAGATTTATCAATAGCTGGATAAATACACAATACGTGAACCAAAGCGGAACAAATACATTACAAATAAACCAGAGGAAAGATATTTTATTATGAGTATTTATTCCATAATCCTGTCCTGTCCAGCATCAAACGCACTGTTTTGAGTTTTTGCCTGATGCCTCTGTACTTCTGCCTGGTTATCCTCATTTTTGGTTTTGACCTCTGGGACGGACTGAGTTTTGCTCTTCCTGAAAACTTCAGTAAACTCTCAGTTTGTGCCTTACTCCTGCCTCTGCCCTGTGATTCTGCGTGTGGGTCTTCTCTGATTTGTAATAGAAGTCAAAAGTTCCTGCAGTGTTTGGGATGATCTGAATCACTATCATTGTAAGGTACACAGCATGAATATGTCACTTAAAATGTGAACTTAAATTCAACTGTTAGTCTAAGACCTATAGGAGAGAAAAAGCATACTATTACCAAATGCAATGCTTTGTTTTCGAGGCTTTTTATGCCTTTATTTTCACGACAGGACAGTGGATAGAGTCAGAAATCTTTGGTGTAGGAAACATAGGAAAAACGTGTTTCCGAGTTGTAAAATGCTCATGATGGGCAAAATATGTTTGTTAATGTTGACATACTTTTTATTTTTTGCCTGGTTTCTTCTTATTACGAGATAAAGATCTTGTTATTACCTCGTTTACCTTCACTCTCGTTCCTAAAAACAATGTTGGGTTTGTTGCCTGAGCTCAGGCTCACAGGCTAGGCTGCCAGTCGCGGTAGCACCCAGTGGCTTCAAGATGGACATTACTGAGCTGGATAGCTGTCGTGGGTGCTTTTTACTGAGGAGGCTAAGATGGAGGGTCCATTATAGTTTGTGTTTTTGAAATTTGTTTCCTTTACAGTGAGGGCAAAGCGTTACCAGCCTGGCAGCTAGCCTGTGAGCCTGAGCTCAGGGCAACAAACCCCACCGTGTTTGCAGCTCGTCAGACACATTTGAAGATATGTGTGCGCATTTGTGGATTTTGCACGGCAGGAGTTGTAATGTTTGTAAAACCCCGAGATGAAGCAGGCGGACAACGACGTAGCAATGTATAGGCTTTAATCCAGAGGCTGCCGGTTACATGCACAAACAGTGACTAACTAACCATGACTGAGCTACATGACTGCTCTATATAAATGTGTCACCCATAGATGGCGTTGTTGCTTCACTTAAAGCTGCCATCAACATTTCAGGAGTGTTGTAAAATGTATGTAAAATGACAGCCAATGGAGAGGCCTCAGTTGTAAGGTCATTTGTGTATTTTCAGGATTTACAGCTGAAAAAGTTCACTGCTATTAATAAATAAGTAAACATTTAGAAATTGGTCTACAGATTTGCAGATTAGTACACGCATTTGTGGATTTTTCTTTTTTTTACACATTTGTGGATCTGTGTGTGCATTTGTGGATCTCTATTTACACATTTGTGGATCTGTACGAATATTCAAATAGTTTTGACATAACAATCCTCCAAAATACTAAGAGTTGCTCTTAGTGACCAAATTTTAAGACAATTTGGAGAATCATGACATTTTCTAAGAATTTCCCCTTAAAGTTAAGACAAGATCCTTGTAAAAGAGTTGAGAATGTTCCTAAACTAAAAATCCTTCCTAGGATCTTTTACGCTAATGCTCTGAGAGGAGAGGGATTTTGACGAGCAGATTGGAAACAGGTGTGTCTCGTCTGCACATACAGAATCCATACCGTTTTTATTTATATTATATTATTATTATATTATACCGTTTTTATTTATATTATATTATTATTA